GTTATACGGAAGGATAATATGGCTGTCAATGCTTTGAAGATAGGATGAAGATATGTGGCTGTCAATGCTTTTGTTGTTATTATACGGAAGGATAATATGGCTGTCAATGCTTCACGGATGAAGGTAGATGCCTTGTTGTTATACGGAAGGATAATATGGCTGTCAATGCTTCACGGATGAAGATAGAGGCCTTGTTGTTATACGGAAGGATAATATGGCTGTCAATGCTTTATGGATGAAGATAGAGGCCTTGTTGTTATACGGAAGGATAATATGGCTGTCAATGCTTTATGGATGAAGATAGAGGCCTTGTTGTTATACGGAAGGATAATATGGCTGTCAATGCTTTAAGGATGAAGATAGAAGCCTTGTTGTTATACGGAAGGATAATATGGCTGTCAATGGCTCAATGCTTTATGGATGAAGATAGAGGCCTTGTTGTTATACGGAAGGATAATATGGCTGTCAATGCTTTATGGATGAAGATAGAAGCCTTGTTGTTATACGGAAGGATAATATATGGCTGTCAATGCTTTATGGATGAAGATAGAATGCCTTGTTGTTATACGGAAGGATAATATGGCTGTCAATGCTTTATGGATGAAGATAGAGGCCTTGTTGTTACACTGAAAGATAATATGGCTGTCAATGCTTTATGGATGAAGATAGAGGCCTTGTTGTTATACGGAAGGATAATATGGCTGTCAATGCTTTATGGATGAAGATATACGGAAGGATAATATGGCTGTCAATGCTTTATGGAAGGATAAGGCCTTGTTGTTATACGGAAGGATAATATGGCTCAATGCTTTTATGGATGAAGATAGAAGCCTTGTTGTTATACGGAAGGATAATATGGCTGTCAATGCTTTATGGATGAAGATAGAGGCCTTGTTGTTATACTGAAGGATAATATGGCTGTCAATGCTTTATGGATGAAGATAGAGCCTTGTTGTTATACGGAAGGATAATATGGCTGTCAATGCTTTATGGATGAAGATAGAGAGGCCTTGTTGTTATACGGAAGGATAATATGGCTGTCAATGCTTGTTTTATGGATGAAGATAGAGGCCTTGTTGTTATACGGAAGGATAATATGGCTGTCAATGCTTTATGGATGAAGATAGAGGCCTTGTTGTTATACGGAAGGATAATATGGCTGTCAATGCTTTATGGATGAAGATAGAGACCTTGTTGTTATACGGAAGGATAATATGGCTGTCAATGCTTTATGGATGAAGATAGAGGCCTTGTTGTTGTTATACGGAAGGATAATATGGCTGCCAATTTTTATTTATGGATGAAGATAGAGAGAGCCTTGTTGTTATACGGAAGGATAATATGGCTGTCAATGCTTAATGGATGAAGATAGAGACCTTGTTGTTATACGGAAGGATAATATGGCTGTCAATGCTTTATGGATGAAGATAGAGGCCTTGTTGTTATACGGAAGGATAATATGGCTGTCAATGCTTTATGGATGAAGATAGAGGTCTTGTTGTTATACGGAAGGATAATATGGCTGCTTTATGGATGGAGATAGAAGCCTTGTTGTTATACGGAAGGGGATAATATGTAAGCTGTCAATGCTTTATGGATGAAGATAGAGGCCTTGTTTGTTTACGGAAGGATAATATGGCTGTGGACGGATGCCTTGTTGATATATGGCTGTCAATGCTTCACGGATGAAGATGTTGTTATACGGAAGGATAATATGGCTTGTTGTCAATGCTTTATGGATGAAGCTTCACGGATAGAGGCCTTGTTGTTATACGGAAGGATAATATGGCTGTCAATGCTTTACGGATGAAGATAGAGGCCTTGTTGTTATACGGAAGGATAATATGGCTGTCAATGCTTTATGGATGAAGATAGAGGCCTTGTTGTTATACGGAAGGATAATATGGCTGTCAATGCTTTATGGATGAAGATAGAGGCCTTGTTGTTATACGGAAGGATAATATGGCTGTCAATGCTTTATGGATGAAGATAGAGGCCTTGTTGTTATACGGAAGGATAATATGGCTGTCAATGCTTTATGGATGAAGATAGATGCCTTGTTGTTATACGGAAGGATAATATGGCTGTCAATGCTTTACGGATGAAGATAGATGCCTTGTTGTTATACGGAAGGATAATATGGCTGTCAATGCTTTATGGATGAAGATAGAGGCCTTGTTGTTATACGGAATGATAATATGGCTGTCAATGCTTTAAGGATGAAGATAGGGCCTTGTTGTTATACGGAAGGCTTCAATGCTTTATGGATGAAGATAGAGGCCTTGTTGTTATACGGAAGGATAATATGGCTGTCAATGATTTATGGATGAAGATAGAGGCCTTGTTGATATACGGAAGGATAATATGGCTGTCAATGCTTTATGGATGAAGATAGAGGCCTTGTTGTTATACTTTATGGGAAGGATAATACGGAAGGATAATGTCAATGCTTTACGGATGAAGATAGAAGCCTTGTTGTTATACGGAAGGATAATATGGCTGTCAATGCTTTATGGATGAAGGCCTTGTTGTTATACGGAAGGATAATATGGCTGTCAATGCTTTACGGATGAAGATAGAGGGCCTTGTTGTTATACGGAAGGATAATATGGCTGTCAATGCTTTATGGATGAAGATAGAGGCCTTGTTGTTATACGGAAGGATAATATGGCTGTCAATGCTTTACGGATGAAGGTAGATGCCTTGTTGTTATACGGAAGGATAATATGGCTGTCAATGCTTTATGGATGAAGATAGAGGCCTTGTTGTTATACGGAAGGATAATATGGCTGTCAATGCTTTATGGATGAAGATAGAGGCCTTGTTGTTATACGGAAGGATAATATGGCTGTCAATGCTTTATGGATGAAGATAGAGGCCTTGTTGTTATACGTAATGATAATATGGCTGTCAATGCTTTATGGATGAAGATAGAAGCCTTGTTGTTATAAGGAAGGATAATATGGCTGTCAATGCTTTATGGATGAAGATAGAATGTTGTTATCGGAAGGATAATATGGCTGTCAATGCTTTATGGATGAAGATAGAAGCCTTGTTGTTATACGGAAGGATAATATGGCTGTCAATGCTTCACGTATGAAGGTAGATGCCTTGTTGTTATACGGAAGGATAATATGGCTGTCAATGCTTTATGGATGAAGATAGATGCCTTGTTGTTATACGGAAGGATAATATGGCTGTCAATGCTTTATGGATGAAGATAGAGGCCTTGTTGTTATACGGAAGGATAATATGGCTGTCAATGCTTTATGGATGAAGATAATGCCTTGTTGTTATACGGAAGGATAATATGGCTGTCAATGCTTTATGGATGAAGATAGAGGCCTTGTTGTTATACGGAAGGATAATATGGCTGTCAATGCTTTATGGATGAAGATAGAGGCCTTGTTGTTATACGGAAGGATAATATGTCTGCTATGGTAGAGGCCTTGTTGTTATACGGAAGGATAATATGGCTGGATGAGGATGAAGATAGAAGCCTTGTTGTTATACGGAAGGATAATATATGGCTGTCAATGCTTCAATGGATGAAGATAGATGCCTTGTTGTTATACGAAGGATAATATGGCTGGAAGGATGAAGATAGAGGGCCTTGTTGTTATACAATGCTTTATGCTTACGGATGAAGATAGAGGCCTTGTTGTTATACGGAAGGATAATATGGCTGTCAATGCTTTATGGATGAAGATAGAAGCCTTTTTGTTATACGGAAGGATAATATGGCTGTCAATGCTTTAAGGATGAAGATAGAAGCCTTGTTGTTATACGGAAGGATAATATGGCTGTCAATGCTTTATGGATGAAGATAGAGGCCTTGTTGTTGTGGAAGGATATATGGCTGTCAATGCTTTATGGATGAAGATATGGCCTTGTTGTTATACGGAAGGATAATACGGCTGTCAATGCTTTTTATGGATGAAGATAGAAGCCTTGTTGTTATACGGAAGGATAATATGGCTGTCAATGCTTTATGGATGAAGATAGAGGCCTTGTTGTTATACGGAAGGATAATATGGCTGTCAATGCTTTATGGATGAAGATAGAGGCCTTGTTGTTATACGGAAGGATAATATGGCTGTCAAGGCTTTATAGATGAAGATAGAAGGCCTTGTTGTTATAGGCCTTGTTGGAAGGATAATATGGCTGTCAATGCTTTATGGATGAAGATAGAGGCCTTGTTGTTATACGGAAGGATAATATGGCTGTCAATGCTTTATGGATGAAGATAGAAGCCTTGTTGTTATACGGAAGGATAATATGGCTGTCAATGCTTTATGGATGAAGATAGAGGCCTTGTTGTTATACGGAAGGATAATATGGCTGTCAATGCTTTACGGATGAAGATAGAGGCCTTGTTGTTATACGGAAGGATAATCAATGGCGGATGTCAATGCTTTACGGATGAAGATAGAGGCCTTGTTGTTATACGGAAGGATAATATGGCTGTCAATGATTTAAGGATGAGGATAGAAGCCTTGTTGTTATACGGAAGGATGATATGGCTGTCAAGGCTTCATGGGATGAAGGATGAAGATAGATGCCTTGTTGTTATACGGAAGGATAATGTGGCTGTCAATGCTTTATGGATGAAGATAGAGGCCTTGTTGTTATACGGAAGGATAATATGGCTGTCAATGCTTTTGGATGAAGATAGGCCTTGTTGTTATACGGAAGGATAATATGGCTGTCAATTGCTTTATGGCCTTGTTGTTATACGGAAGGATAATATGGCTGTCAATGCTTTATGGATGAAGATAGAGCCTTGTTGTTGATAATATGGCTGTTGTTATACGGAAGGATAATATGGCTGTCAATGCTTTAGGATGAAGATAGAGGCCTTGTTGTTATACGGAAGGATAATATGGCTGTCAATGCTTTATGGATGAAGATAGAGGCCTTGTTGTTATACGGAAGGATAATATGGCTGTCAATGCTTTATGGATGAAGATAGAGGCCTTGTTGTTATACGGAAGGATGCTTTAATATGGCCTTGTTGTTATCAATGCTTTATGGATGAAGATAGAGGCCTTGTTGTTATACGGAAGGATAATATGGCTGTCAATGTTTATGGATGAAGATAGAGGCCTTGTTGTTATACGGAAGGATAATATGGCTGTCAATGCTTTAGCCTTCTTGGATGAAGATAGAAGCAATGTTGTTATACGGAAGGATAATATGGCTGTCAATGCTTTATGGATGAAGATAGAGACCTTGTTGTTATACGGAAGGATAATATGGCTGGATGAAGATAGATGCCTTGTTGTTATACGGAAGGATTATGGGATGACGGATGAAGATAGAAGCCTTGTTGTTATACGGAAGGATAATATGGCTGTCAATGCTTTATGGATAATATAGAGGCCTTGTTGTTATACGGAAGGAAATGACTGTCAATGCTTTATGGATGAAGATAGAGGCCTTGTTGTTATACGGAAGGATAATATGGCTGTCAATGCTTCACGGATGAAGATAGAGGCCTTGTTGTTATACGGAAGGATAATATGGCTGTCAATGCTTTATGGATGAAGATAGAGGCCTTGTTGTTATACGGAAGGATAATATGGCTGTCAATGCTTTATGGATGAAGATAGAGGCCTTGTTGTTATACGGTAGGATAATATGGCTGTCAATGCTTTATGGATGAAGATAGATGCCTTGTTGTTATACGGAAGGGATAATGCTTTATGGATGGCTGTCAATGCTTCTTTATGGAAGATAGAGGCCTTGTTGTTATAGATAATATGGCTGTCAATGCTTTTGGATTGTTATACGGAAGGATAATATGGCTGTCAATGCTTTATGGATGAAGTTATACGGAAGGATGCTTCACGGATGAAGATGCCTTGTTGTTATACGGAAGGATAATATGGCTGTCAATACGGATATGGCTTTGTTGTTATCAATGGCTTTGCTTTGGATGAAGATAGAGGCCTTGTTGTTATACGGAAGGATAATATGGCTGTCAATGCTTTACGGATGAAGATAGATGCCTTGTTGTTATACGGAAGGATAATATGGCTGTCAATGCTTTATGGATGAAGATAGATGCCTTTGTTGTTATACGGAAGGATAATATGGCTGTCAATGCTTTATGGATGAAGATAGAGGCCTTGTTGTTATACGGAAGGATAATATGGCTGTCAATGCTTTATGGGATGAAGTTATACGGAAGGATAATTGTTGTTATACGGAAGGATAATGTTGTTATACGGAAGGATAATATGCTTCAATTATGGATGAAGATAGAGGCCTTGTTGTTATACGGAAGGATAATATGGCTGTCAATGCTTTATGGATGAAGATAGAGGCCTTGTTGTTATACGGAAGGATAATATAGATGCCTTGTATTTATACGGAAGGATACTATGGCTGTCAAAGCTTTATGGATGGAGATAGAGGCCTTGTTGTTATACGGAAGGATAATATGGCTGTCAATGCTTTATGGATGATAGAGGCCTTTGTTGTTATACGGAAGGATAATATGGCTGTCAATGCTTTATGGATGAAGATAGAGGCCTTGTTGTTATACGGAAGGATAATATGGCTGTCAATGCTTCAGGGATGAAGATAGAGGCCTTGTTTTTATGGATGAAGATAATGCTTTATGGATGAAGATTATACGGAAGGATAATATGGCTGTCAATGCTTATGGATGAAGATAGAGGCCTTGTTGTTATACGGAAGGATAATATGTCTGTCAATGGTTCGGATGAAATGCCTTGTTGTTATGGATGAAGATAGATAGCCTTGTTGTTATACGGAAGGATAATATGGCTGTCAATAATTTATGGATGAAGATAGAGGCCTTGTTGTTATACGGAAGGATAATATGGCTGTCAATGCTTTATGGATGAAGATAGAGGCCTTGTTGTTATACGGAAGGATAATATGGCTGTCAATGCTTTATGGATGAAGATAGAGGCCTTGTTGTTATACGGAAGGATAATATGGCTGTCAATGCTTTATGGATGAAGATAGAGGCCTTGTTGTTATACGGAAGGATAATATGGCTGTCAATGATTTATGGATGAAGATATGCCTTTTTGTTATACGGAAGGATAATATGGCTGTCAATGTGGATTTATGGATGAAGATAGAGATATGCCTGTCAATACTTGTTATACGGAAGGATAATATGGCTGTCAATGCTTTATGGATGAAGATAGATGCCTTGTTGTTTATACGGAAGGATAATATGGCTGTCAATGCTTTACGGATGAAGATAGAGGCCTTGTTGTTATACGGAAGGATAATATGGCTGTCAACGGAAGATAGAGACCTTGTTGTTATACGGAAGGATAATATGGCTGTCAATGCTGCTATGGATGAAGATAGAGCCTTGTTGTTATACGGAAGGATAATATGGCTGTCAATGCTTTATGGATGGAGATAGAGGCCTTGTTGTTATACGGAAGGATAATATGGCTGTCAATGATTTATGGATGAAGTTAGAGGCCTTGTTGATATACTGAAGGATAATATGGCTGTCAATGCTTTATGGATGAAGATAGATGCCTTGTTGTTATACGGAAGGATAATATGGCTGTCAATGCTTTATGGATGAAGATAAGGCCTTGTTGTTATACGGAAGGATAATATGGCTGTCAATGCTTTATGGATGAAGATGAAGATACGGAAGGCCTATGGCTTGCTTTATGGATATAGGCCTTGTTGAAGGATAATATGGCTGTCAATGCTTTATGGATGAAGATAGAGGCCTTGTTGTTATACGGAAGGATAATATGGGTCAAGGCTTCATGGATGAAGATAGAAGCTTTGTTGTTATACGGAAGGATAATATGGCTGTCAATGCTTTATGGATGAAGATGAGGCCCTTGTTGTTATACGGAAGGATAATATGGCTGTCAATGCTTTATGGATGAAGATAGAGGCCCTTGTTGTTATACGGAAGGATAATATGGCTGTCAATGCTTTATGGATGAAGATAGAGGCCTTGTTGTTATACGGAAGGATAATATGGCTGTCAATGTTTTGGATGGATGAAGATAGAGGCCTTGTTGTTATACGGAATGATAATATGGCTGTCAATGCTTTATGGATGAAGATAGAGACCTTGTTGTTATACGGAAGGATAATATGGCTGTCAATGCTTTATGGATGAAGATAGAGGCCTTGTTGTTATACGGAAGGATAATATGGCTGTCAATGCTTCACGGATGAAGATAGATGCCTTGTTGTTATACGGAAGGATAATATGGCTGTCAATGCTTCACGGATGAAGGTAGATGCCTTGTTGTTATACGGAAGGATAATATGGCTGTCAATGCTTTATGGATGAAGATAGAGGCCTTGTTGTTATACGGAAGGATAATATGGCTGTCAATGCTTTATGGATGAAGATAGAGGCCTTGTTGTTATACGGAAGGATAATATGGCTGTCAATGCTTCACGGATGAAGGTAGATGCCTTGTTGTTATACGGAAGGATAATATGGCTGTCAATGCTTTATGGATGAAGATAGAGGCCTTGTTGTTATACGGAAGGATAATATGGCTGTAATGGATGAAGGCCTTGTTGTTATACAATGCTTTATGGATGAAGATAGAGAAGACCTTGTTGTTATACGGAAGGATAATATGGCTGTCAATGCTTTATGGATGAAGATAGAGGCCTTTGTTGTTATACGGAAGGATAATATGGCTGTCAATGCTTTATGGATAGATGAATATTTGTTGTTATACTTGTTGTTATACGGAAGGATAATATGGCTGATCAATGCTTGTTGTTTTTTATGGATGAACGGATGAAGAGGCCTTGTTGTTATACGGAAGGATAATATGGCTGTCGGATACAGGAAGATGAAGATGATATAGGCCTTGTTGTTATACGGAAGGATAATATTGCTGTCAATGGATGAAGATAGAGGCCTTGTTGTTATACGGAAGGATAATATGGCTGTCAATGCTTTTATGGATGAAGATAGAAGCCTTGTTGTTATACGGAAGGACAATATGGCTGTCAATGCTTTATGGATGAATATAGAGGCCTTGTTGTTATACGGAAGGATAATATGGCTGTCAATGCTTTATGGATGAAGATAGAGGCCTTGTTGTTATACGGAAGGATAATATGGCTCTCAATGGTTCACGGATGAAGATAGAGGCCTTGTTGTTATACGGAAGGATAATATGGCTGGCAATGCTTCACGGATGAAGATAGAGGCCTTCTTGTTATACGGAAGGATAAAGGCTGTCAATAACGGATGAAGATAGATGCCTTGTTGTTATACGGAAGGATAATATGCTTTACGGATGAAGATAGAGGCCTTGTTGTTATACGGAAGGATAATATGGCTGTCAATGCTTCACGGATGAAGGTAGATGCCTTGTTGTTATACGGAAGGATAATATGGCTGTCAATGCTTTATGGATGAAGATAGAGGCCTTGTTGTTATACGGAAGGATAATATGGCTGTCAATGCTTTATGGATGAAGATAGAGGCCTTGTTGTTATACGGAAGGATAATATGGCTGTCAATGCTTTATGGATGAAGATAGAGGCCTTGTTGTTATACGGAAGGATAATATGGCTGTCAATGCTTTATGGTCAATGCTTTATGGATGAAGATAGACGCCTTGTTGTTATACGGAAGGATAATATATGGCTGTCAATGGTTCATGGATGAAGATAGAGGCCTTTGTTGTTATACGGAAGGATAATATGGCTGTCAATGCTTTATGGATGAAGATAGAGGCCTTGTTGTTATACGGAAGGATAATATGGCTGTCAATGCTTTATGGATGAAGATAGATGCCTTGTTGTTATACGGAAGGATAATATGGCTGTCAATGCTTCACGGATGAAGATGAGGCCTTGTTGTTATACGGAAGGATAATATGGCTGTCAATGAAGATGAAGATAGATGCCTTGTTGTTATACGGAAGGATAATATGGTTATCAAGGATAATTTATGGATGAAGATAGAAGGCCTTGTTGTTATACGGAAGGATAATATGGCTGTCAATGCTTTATGGATGAAGATAGAGGCCTTGTTGTTATACGGAAGGATAATATGGCTGTCAATGCTTTATGGATGAAGATAGAGGCCTTGTTGTTATACGGAAGGATAATATGGCTGTCAATGCTTTATGGATGAAGATAGAGGCCTTGTTGTTATACGGAAGGATAATATGGCTGTCAATGTTTTTATGGATGAAGATAGAGGCCTTGTTGTTATACGGAAGGATAATATGGCTGTCAATGCTGTTGTTATACGGAAGGATTTAGCCTTGGATGAAGATAGATGTTTTTACGGATGAAAGATTGTTGTTCTTACGGAAGGATAATATGGCTGTCAATCAATTTTATGGATGAAGATAGAGGCCTTGTTGTTATACGGAAGGATAATATGGCTGTCAATGCTTTATGGATGAATATAGAGGCCTTGTTGTTATACGGAAGGATAATATGGCTGTCAATGCTTCACGGATGAAGATGAAGATACGGAAGGATAATATGTCTGTCAATTCTTCACGGATGAAGGTAGATGCCTTGTTGTTATACGGAAGGATAATATGGCTGTCAATGCTTTATGGATGAAGATAGAGGCCTTGTTGTTATACGGAAGGATAATATGGCTGTCAATGCTTTATGGATGAAGATAGAGGCCTTGTTGTTATACGGAAGGATAATATGGCTGTCAATGCTTTATGGATGAAGATAGAGGCCTTGTTGTTATACGGAAGGATAATATGTCTGTCAATGCTTCACGGATGAAGATAGAGGCCTTGTTGTTATACGGAAGGATAATATGGCTGTCAATGCTTCACGGATGAAGGTAGATGCCTTGTTCTTATACGGAAGGATGGCTTGTCAATGCTTTATGGATGAAGATAGAGGCCTTTGACATTGTTATACGGAAGGATAATATGGCTGTCAATGCTTTATGGATGAAGATAGAGGCCTTGTTGTTATACGGAAGGATAATATGGCTGTCAATGCTTTATGGATGATAGGTAGGATAATTGTTGTTATACGGAAGGATAATATGGCTGTCAATGCTTCACGGATGAAGATAGAACCTTGTTGTTATACGGAAGGATAATATGGCTGTCAATGCTTTATGGATGAAGATAGAGGCCTTGTTGTTATACGGAAGGATAATATGGCTGTCAATGCTTTATGGATGAAGATAGAGGCCTTGTTGTTATACGGAAGGATATATGGCTCTCAATGCTTCATGGATGAAGATAGAGGCCTTGTTGTTATACGGAAGGATAATATGATGCCCTTTTGGATCAATGCTTTATGGATGAAGATAGAGGCCTTGTTGTTATACGGAAGGATAATATGGCTGTCAATGCTTCACGGATGAAGATAGAGGCCTTGTTGTGAAGGACAATATTTATGGAAGGATAATATATGGCTGTTCAATGCTTTATGGATGAAGATAGAGGCCTTGTTGTTATACGAAGGATAATATGGCTTGTCAATGCTTTATGGATGAAGATAGAGGCCTTGTTGTTATACGGAAGGATAATATGGCTGTCAATGCTTTATGGATGAAGATAGAAGCCTTGTTGTTATACGGAAGGATAATATGGCTGTCAATGCTTTGTATGGATGAAGATAGAAGCCTTGTTGTTATACGGAAGGATAATATGGCTGTCAATGCTTCACGGATGAAGATAGACGCCTTGTTGTTATACGGAAGGATAATATGGTTGTCAATGCTTTATGGATGAAGATAGAGGCCTTGTTGTTATACGGAAGGATAATATATGCTGTCAATGATTTAAGGATGAAGAGAGACGTCTTTGTTGTTATACGGAAGGATAATATGGCTGTCAATGCTTTTAAGGATGAAGATAGAAGCCTTTTGTTGTTATACGGAAGGATAATATGGCTGTCAATGCTTTATGGATGAAGATAGAGGCCTTGTTGTTATACGGAAGGATAATATGTATCAATGGCTACGGATGAAGATAGAGGCCTTGTTGTTATACGGAAGGATAATATGGCTGTCAATGCTTCACGGATGAAGATAGAGGCCTTGTTGTTATACGGAAGGATAATATGGCTGTCAATGCTTTTTGGATGAAGATAGACGCCTACGGATTGTTGTTATACGGAAGGACAATATGGCTGTCAATGATTTATGGATGAATATAGAGGCCTTGTTGTTATACGGAAGGATAATATGGCTGTCAATGCTTTTGGATGAAGATAGAGGCCTTGTTGTTTATACGGAAGGATAATAATCAATGGTTCACGGATGAAGATAGAGGCCTTGTTGTTATACGGAAGGATAATACGGAAGGATAATAATATGGCTGGCAATGCTTTACGGATGAAGATAGCCTTGTTGTTATACGGAAGGATAATACGGCTGTCAATGCTTTAAGGATGAAGATAGATGCCTTGTTGTTATACGGAAGGATAATATGGCTGTCAATGCTTTATGGATGAAGATAGAGGCCTTATTATACGGAAGGATAATATGGCTGTCAATGCTTTATGGATGAAGATAGAGGCCTTTGTTGTTATACGGAAGGATAATATGGCTGTCAATGGTTCACGGATGAGGATAGAGGCCTTGTTGTTATACGGAAGGATAATATGGCTCTCAATGGTTCAAGGATGAAGGTAGATGCCTTGTTGTTATACGGAAGGATAATATGTCTGTCAATGCTTTATGGATGAAGATAGAGGCCTTGTTGTTATACGGAAGGATAATATGGCTGTCAATGCTTTATGGATGAAGATAGAGGCCTTGTTATTATACGGAAGGATAAATGTCTGTGAATGCTTCACGGATGAAGATAGAGGCCTTGTTGTTATACGGAAGGATAATATGGCTGTCAATGTTTATGGATGAAGGAGACCTTGATTTGTTCTTTATACGGATGAAGAATAGATATTTATTGTCGGAAGGATGCTTTAAGGATGAAGATAGAGGCCTTGTTGTTATACGGAAGGATAATATGGCTTTCAATGGTTCACGGATGAATGCCTTTTACGAAGGTAATATGAACGGATGAAGATAGATGCCTTTGTTGTTATACGGAAGGATAATATGGCTGTCAATGCTTTAAGGATGAAGATAGGCCTTGTTGTTATACGGAAGGATAATATGGTCAATGATTGAATGCTTCGGAAGGATGATGGAAGAAGCGTAGTAGATGCCTTGTTGTTATACGGAAGGAGGCTTTAATATGGCTGTCAATGCTTTATGGATGAAGATAGATGCCTGTTGTTGTTATACGGAAGGATAATATGGTCTGTCAATGCTTTATGGATGAAGATAGAGGCCGAGGATTAGATGCCTTGTTATACGGAAGGATAATATGGCTGTCAATGCTTTATGGATAAAGAGAGAAGCCTTCTTGTTATACGGAAGGATAATATTGCTGACAATGTTTTATGGATGAAGATAGAGGCCTTGATGTTATACGGAAGGATAATATGGCTGTCAATGCTTTATGGATGATGATAGATGCCTTGTTGTTATACGGAAGAATAATATGGCTTGTTGTCAATGCTAATATGCTGGATGAAGATAGAGAACCTTGTTGTTATACGGAAGGATAATATTGCTGACAATGCTTTATGGATGAAGAGAGAAGCCTTTGTTATACGGAAGGATAATATCAATGCATTATGGATGAAGATAGAGGCCTTGTTGTTATACGGAAAGGATAATATGGTTGTCAATGCTTCAGGATGAAGAGAGAGTCCTTTTTGTTATACGGAAGGATAATATGGCTGTCAATGCTTAAAGAAGATGAAGATAGAGGCCTTGTTGTTATACGGAAGGATAATATGGCTGTCAATGCTTCACGGATGAAGATAGAGCCTTGTTGTTATACGGAAGGACAATATGACTGTCAATGCTTTATGGATGAAGATAGAGGCCTTGTTGTTATACGGAAGGATAATATGGCTGTCAATTGTTTTTTTATGGATGAAGATAGAGGCCTTGTTGTTATTTGAAGGACAATATGACTGTCAATGGTTTATGGATGAAGATAGAGGCCTTGTTGTTATACGGAAGGATAATATGGCTGTCAATGATTTAAGGATGAAGATAGAAGCCTTGTTGTTATACGGAAGGATGATATGGCTGTCAAGGCTTCACGTAAGAAGGTAGATGCCTTGTTGTTATACGGAAGGATAATGTGGCTGTCAATGCTTTATGGATGAAGATAGAGGCCTTGATGTTATACGGAAGGATAATATGGCTGTCAATGCTTTATGGATGAAGATAGAGGCCTTGTTGTTATACGGGAGGATAATATGGCGTCTCAATGTTCACGGATGAAGATAGAGGCTTGCTTTGTTATACGGAAGGATAATATGGCTGTCAATGCTTTACGGATGAAGGTAGATGCCTTTGTTTTATACGGAAGGATATGGCTGTCAATGCTTTATGGATGAAGATAGAGGCCTTGTTGTTATACGGAAGGATAATATATTCTCAATGGTTCACGGATGAAGATAGAGGAATTGTTGTTATACGGAAGGTTAATATGTCTGTCAATTCTTCACGGATGAAGGTAGATGCTTTGTTATACGGAAGGATAATATGGCTGTCAATGCTTTTATGGATGAAGATAGAGGCCTTGTTGTTATACGGAAGGATGATATCGCTGTCAAGGCTTTATGGAAGAAGGTAGATGCCTTGTTGTTATACGGAAGGATAACAATGTATGTCAATGCTTTATGGATGAAGATAGAGGCCTTGTTGTTATACGGAAGGATAATATGGCTGTCAATGCTTTATGGATGAAGATAGATGCCTTGTTGTTATACGGAAGGATAAAATGTCTGTGAATGCTTCACGGATGAAGATAGAGGCCTTGTTGTTATACGGAAGGATAATATGGCTGTCAATGCTTCACGGATGAAGGTAGATGCCTTGTTCTTATACGGAAGGATAATATGGCTGTCAATGCTTTATGGATGAAGATAGAGGCCTTGTTGTTATACGGAAGGATAATATGGCTCTCAATGGTTCACGGATGAAGATAGAGGCCTTGTTGTTATACGGAAGGTTAATATGTCTGTCAATGCTTCACGGATGAAGGTAGATGCCTTGTTGTTATACGGAAGGATAATATGGCTGTCAATGCTTTATGGATGAAGATAGAGGCCTTAAATGTTATACGGAAGGATAATGAAACAATGCTTTATGGATGACGGATAGAGGCCTTGTTGTTATAATGGAAGGATAAAATAGAACTTGTTGTTATGAATGTTAATATGGATGAAGATAGAGGCCTTTGTTGTTATACGGAAGGATAATATGGCTGTCAATGCTTCATGGATGAAGATAGATGCCTTGTTGTTATACGGAAGGATAATATGGCTGTCAATGCTTCATGGATGAAGATAGAGGCCTTTGTTGTTATACGGAAGGATAATATGTGTCAATTCTCAGCCTTGTTATACGATATGGTTCACGGATGAAGATAGAATGCTGGTTAACGGAGGTTGTTATATGGAAGGTAAATTCTTCACGGATGAAGGTAGATGCCTTGTTATAATGGAAGGATAATATGGCTGTCAATGCTTTTATGGATGAAGATAGAGCCTTTTGTTATACGGAAGGATAATATGGCTGTCAATGCTTTATGGATGAAGATAGAGGCATTGTTGTTATACGGAAGGATAATATGGCTGTCAATGCTTAGGTGGATGAAGATAGAGGCCTTGTTGTTATACGGAAGGATAATATGGCTGTCAATGCTTTATGGATGAAGATAGAGGCCTTGTTGTTATACGGAAGTATAATATGGCTGTCAATGATTTAAGGATGAAGATAGAAGCCTTGTTGTTATACGGAAGGATGATATGGCTGTCAAGGCTTCACGTAAGAAGGTAGACTTGTTGTTATACGGAAGGATAATGTGGCTGTCAATGCTTTATGGATGAAGATAGAGGCCTTGTTGTTATACGGAAGGATAATATGGCTGTCAATGATTTATGGATGAAGATAGAGGCCTTGTTGTTATACGGAAGAATAATATGGTTGTCAATGCTTTAAGGATGAAGAGAGAAGCCTTGTTGTTATACGGAAGGATAATAGGCTGTCAGTGCTTTAAGGATGAAGATAGAAGCCTTGTTGTTATACGGAAGGATAATATGGCTGTCAATGCTTCACGGATGAAGGTAGATGCCTTGTTGTTATACGGAAGGATAATATGGCAGTCAATGCTTCACGGATGAAGATAGATGCCTTGTTGTTATACGGAAGGATAATATGGCTGTCAATGCTTCAAGGATGAAGATAGAGGCCTTGTTGTTATACGGAAGGATAATATGGCTGTCAATGCTTCACGGATGAAGATAGACGCCTTGTTGTTATACGGAAGGACAATATGGCTGTCAATGATTTATGGATGAATATAGAGGCCTTGTTGTTATACGGAAGGATAATATGGCTGTCAATGCTTTATGGATGAAGATAGAGGCCTTGTTGTTATACGGAAGGATAATATGGCCTCAATGGTCAATGCTTTATGGATGAAGATAGAGGCCTTGTTGTTATAATTTGAAGGATAATATGGCTGTATCAATGCTTTATGGATGAAGATAGATAATAAACATCAATGCTTGGATGAAAGATCAGCCTTGTTACAAGGAAGAAGGATAATATTGTCAATGCTTTAAGGATGAAAGATAGAGGCTTTGTTGTTATACGGAAGGATAATATGGCTGTCATGATTTATGGATGAAGATAGAGGCCTTGTTATTATACGGAAGGATAATATGGCTGTCAATGCTTTATGGATGAAGATAGAGGCCTTGTTGTTATATGGAAGGATAAAATGTCTGTCAATGCTTTTATGGATGAAGATAGAGGCCTTGTTGTTATACGGAAGGATAATATGGCTGTCAATGCTTCACGGATGAAGATAGATAGATCTTGTTGTTATACGGAAGAATAATATGGCTGTCAATGCTTTATGGATGAAGATAGAGGCCTTGTTGTTATACGGAAGGATAATATGGTAACTATGGATCCAATGGTTATACGGATGAAGATAGAGGCCTTGTTGTTATACGGAAGGTTAATATGTCTGTCAATGCTTCACGGATGAAGGTAGATGCCTTGTTGTTATACGGAAGGATAATATGGCTGTCAATGCTTTAAGGATGAAGATAGAAGCCTTGTTGTTATACGGAAGGATAATATGGCTGTCAATGCTTCACGTAAGAAGGTAGATGCCTTGTTGTTATACGGAAGGATAATATGGCTGTCAATGCTTTATGGATGAAGATAGAGGCCTTGTTGTTATACGGAAGGATAATATGGCTGTCAATGCTTTATGGATGAAGATAGAGACCTTGATGTTATACGGAAGGATAATATGGCTGTCAATGCTTTATGGATGAAGATAGAGGCCTTGTTGTTATACGGAAGGATAATATGGCTGTCAGTGCTTTAAGGATGAAGAGAGAAGCCTTCTTGTTATACGGAAGGATAATATTGCTGACAATGTTTTATGGATGAAGATAGAGGCCTTGATGTTATACGGAAGGATAATATGGCTGTCAATGCTTTATGGATGAAGATAGAGACCTTGTTGTTATACGGAAGAATAATATGGCTGTCAATGCTTTATGGATGAAGATAGAGGCCTTGTTGTTATACGGAAGGATAATATGGTCAATGCTTTATGGATGAAGAGGCCTTGTTGTTCAGGATGAGGATACTTTTATGGATTTTGTTGTTATACGGAAGGATAATATGGCTGTCAATGCTTTACGGATGAAGATAGATGCCTTTTGTTATACGGAAGGATAATATGGCTGTCAAGGCTTTATGGATGAAGATAGAGGCCTTGTTGTTATAATGGAATGGATAATATGGCTGTCAATGCTTTATGGATGAAGATAGAGGCCTTTGTTATTTATACGGAAGGATAAATGTCTGTCAATGCTTTATGGATGAAGATAGAGGCCTTGTTGTTATACGTAAAGGATAATATGGCTGTCAATGGTTCACGGATGAAGATAGATGCCTTGTTGTTATACGGAAGAATATATGGCTGTCAATGATTTAAGGATGAAGATAGAAGCCTTGTTGTTATACGGAAGGATAATATGGCTGTCAAATGGTTCACGGACGAAGATAGATGCCTTGTTGTTATACGGAAGGGGATAATGTGGCTGTCAATGCTTTATGGATGAAGATAGAGGCCTTGTTGTTATACGGAAGGATAATATGGCTGTCAATGGTTTAAGGATGAAGAGATAGTTTTGTTGTTATACGGAAGGATAATATGGCTGTCAGTTCTTAAGGATGAAGAGAGCAGTTTTGTTATACGGAAGGATAATATTGCTGTCAATGTTTTATGGATGAAGATAGAGCCTTGTTGTTATACGGAAGAATAATATGGCTGTCAATGCTTTATGGATGAAGATAGAGACCTTGTTGTTATACGGAAGGATAATATGGTGTGTTTATGGATGAAGATAGAGCTTGTTGTTTTACGGAAGGATGAAGACGTGGAAAAGAAGATGCCTTGTTGTTATAACGGAAGGATAATATGGCTGTCAATGCTTTATAGATGAAGATAGAGGCCTTGTTGTTATACGGAAGGATAATATGGCTGTCAATGCTTTATGGATGAAGATAGAGGCCTTGTTGTTATACGGAAGGATAATATGGCTGTCAATGATTTTAATGAAATAGATGCCTTTGTTGTTATAAGGATGATAGATAGAGGTAGACTTGTTGTTATACGGAAGGATATTATGGCTGTCAATGCTTTACGGATGAAGATAGACGCCTTGTTGTTATACGGAAGGATAATATGGCTGTCAATGATTTATGGATGAAGATAGAGGCCTTGTTGTTATACGGAAGGATAATATGGCTGTCAATGTTTTATGGATGAAGATAGAGGCCTTGTTGTTATACGGAAGATAATATGGCTGTCAATGCTTACGGATGAAAGATAAAGCCCTGTTGTTATACGGAAGGATAATATGGCTATCCAATGCTTCACGGATGAAGATAGATGCCTTGTTGTTATACGGAAGGATAATATGACTGTCAATGCTTTATGGATGAAGATAGAGCCTTGTTGTTATACGGAAGGATAGTATGGCTGTCAATGCTTTTGGATGAAGATAGAGGCCTTGTTGTTATACGGAAGGATAATATGGCTGTCAATGCTTTATGGATGAAGATAGAGGACTTGTTGTTATACGGAAGGATAATATGGCTGTCAGTGCTTTAAGGATGATCGAAACCCCTTTGGAAGGATAATATTGCTGACAACGGATGAAGATAGATGCCTTCTTGTTATACGGAAGGATAATATGGCTGTCAATGCTTTTATGGATGAAGATAGAGGCCTTGTTATACGGAAGGATAATATGGCTGTATCAATGCTTTATGGATGAAGATAGAGACCTTGTTGTTATACGGAAGGATAATATAGTTTGTCAATGCTTTAAGGATGAAGATAGAGGCCTTGTTTGCGAAGGATAATATGGCTGTCAATGCTTTATGTATGAAGATAGAGGCCTTTTTGTTATACGGAAGGATAATATGGCTGTCAATGCTTCAAGGATGAAGATAGAAGCATTGTTGTTATACGGAAGGATAATATGGCTGTCAATGCTTATGGATGAAGATAGACGCCTTTTGTTATTAAGGACAATATGGAAGGATAATATGGCCTTGTTGTACAATGGCTTTACGGATGAAGATAGAGGCCTTGTTGTTATACGGAAGGATAATATAGCTCTCAATGGTTTACGGATGAAGATAGATGCCTTATTGTTATACGGAAGGACAATATGACTGTCAACGCAATTTATGGATGAAGATAGAGGCCTTGTTGTTATACGGAAGGAAGGATATGGATATGGTATTTATTTATACTGTCAATGCTTTATGGATGAAGATAGAGGCCTTGTTGTTATACGGAAGGATAATATGGCTGTCTATGGTTCATGGATGAAGATAGAGGCCTTTGTTGTTATACGGAAGGATAATATGGCTGTCAAATCTTTACAGATGAAAGATAGATTTATACGGAAGGAATATAGTCAATGATTTAAGGATGAGGATGTTGTTATATGGAAGGATGATATGGCTGTCAAGGGTTCACGGATGAAGGTAGATGCCTTGTTGTTATACGGAAGGATAATGTCAATGCTTTGGATGAAGATAACAATGTCAATACTTTATGGATGAAGATAGAGGCCTTGTTGTTATACGGAAGGATAATATGGCTGCTTCAATCGCCTTATGGATACGGAAGATAGATGCCTTTGTTGTTGGTACGGAAGGATAATATGGCTGTCAATGCTTCACGGATGAAGATAGATGCCTTGTTGTTATACGGAAGGATAATATGGCTGTCAATGCTACACGGATGAAGATAGGGCCTTGTTATTATACGGAAGAATAATATGGCTGTCAATGCTTTCACGGATGAAGATAGAAGCCTTGTTGTTATACGGAAGGATAATATGGCTATCAATGGTTTATGGATGAAGATAGAAACCTTGATGTTATTCGGAAAAGATAATTGTATCAATGATTTATGGATGGAAGGTTATATATGTCTGCATTAACAATGCTTCATGTTATACGGGATGAAGGATAGAAGCCTTTGTTGTTATACGGAAGGATAATATGGCTGTCAATGTTTTATGGATGAAGATAGAGGCCTTTTGTTATACGGAAGGATATGAGTGGCTGTCAATGCCGGCGGATGAAGATAGAGGCATTGTTGTTGTTATACGGAAGAATAATATGGCTGTCAATGCTTTATGGATGAATGGTTGTCAATTCTTTAGATGAAGAGAGAAGCCTTGTTGTTATACGGAAGGATAATATGGCTGTCAATGCGTTATGGATGAAGATAGAGGCCTTGTTGTTATACGGAATGACAATATGGCTGTCAATGCTTTAAGGATGAAGATAGAAGCCTTGTTGTTATACGGAAGGATACGCGGCTGTCAATGCTTTATAGATGAAGATAGATGCTTTGTTGTTATACGGAAGGATAATATGGCTGTCAATACTTCATGGATGAAGATAGAGGCCTTGTTGTTATACGGAAGTATAATATGGCTGCTTCACGGATGATTTTATGAAGGGATGAAGGATGAAGATAGCCTTTGTTGTTATACGGAAGGAAAATATGGCTGTCAAGGCTTCTTTGGAACGATAAAAGATGGATGAAGATAGACTTGTTGTTATACGGAAGGATAATATGGCTGTCAATGCTTACGGATGAAGATAGATGCCTTTGCTGTTATACGGAAGGATAATATGAAACATCAATGCTTTATGGATGAAGATAGAGGCCTTTTTGTTATACGGAAGAATAATATGGCTGTCAATGCTTTTTGGATGAAGATGAGGCCTTGTTGTTATATGGAAGAAGCGTTCGTTCACAGGATGAAGATGACTTGGAACGGAAGATAATATGTCAATGCTTCCACGGATGAAGGTAGATGCCTTGTTGTTATACGGAAGGATAATATGGCTATCAATGCTTACGGATGAAGGTAGATGCCTTGTTGTTATACGGAAGGATAATATGGCTGTCAATCTTCTGGATGAAGATAGACTTATTGTGCTCTGGAAGGATGTAATATGGCTGTCATGAAGATAGATGCCTTTTGTTATACGGAAGGATAATATGGCTGTCAATGATTTTGGACGGATAGATGAAGATAGAGGCAATGCTTTATGGATATACCTTGTTGAAGGATAATGGCGGCTGTCAATGCTTTTGGATGAAGATAGACGCCTTGTTGTTATACGGAAGGATAATATGGCTATCAATGCTTTTAGGATGAAGGTAAAGCCTTGTTGTTTTATGGATGAATATATTGTCAATGTTTATTGGATGTCGATAGAGCCTTGTTATTATACGGAAGGATAATATGGCTGTCAATGCTTTACGGATGAAGATAGAGGCCTTTGTTGTTATACTGAAGGATAATATGGCTGTACAATGGTTCATGGACGAAGATAGATGCCTTTTTGTTATACGGAAAGATAATATGGCTGTCAATGCTTTATGGATGAAGATAGAGGCCTTGTTGTTATACGGAAGGATAATATGGTTGTCAATTCTTTAAGGATGAAGAGAGAAGCCTTGTTGTTATACGGAAGGAAAATATGGCATGTCAATGCTTTATGGATGAAGATAGAGGCCTTATGTTATACGGAAGGATAAAATGGCTGTCAATTCTTTATGGATGAAGATAGAGGCCTTGTTGTTATACGGAAGGATAATATGGCTGTCAATGCTTTAAGGATGAAGATAGAAGCCTTGTTGTTATACGGAAGGATAATATGGCTGTCAATGCTTCACGGATGAAGGTAGATGCCTTGTTGTTATACGGAAGGATAATATGGCTGCCAACCTTGCTTTGCGGATGAAGATAGATAGCCTATAATTTGTTGTTATACGGAAGGATAATATGGCTGTCAATGCTTTATGGATGAAGATAGATGCCTTGTTGTTATACGGAAGGATAAATGGCTGTCAATGCTTCACGGATGAAGGTAGATGCCTTGTTGTTATACGGGAAGGATATATAGCTGTCATCGCTTTATGGATGAAGATAGGGGCCTTTGTTGTTATACGGAAGAATAGATGCCTAAATGCTTTCTTAGAAGCCTTGTTGTTATACGGAAGGATAATATGGCTGTCAATGCTTTTATGGATGAAGATAGAGGCCTTGTTGTTATATGAAAACATAATATGGCTGTCAATGGTTCATGGATGAAGATAGAGGCCTTAGGTTATACGATAAAGGATATGCTTTATGTCTTGTTGTCAATGAAACTTCACGGATGAAGGTAGATGCCTTGTTGTTATACGGAAGGATAATGGCTGTCAATGCTTTTATGGATGACGAGAGTTTGTTGTTATAATGGAAGGATAATATAGTCAATGCTTTTATCTAACTTTGTTATAATGGAAGGATAATATATATTGTCAATGCTTTATGGATGAAGTGAGGCCATGTTGTTATACGGAAGGCTATGGCTGTCAATGCTTTATGGAAGATAGAGGCTTGTTTGTTTTTATGTCAATGAAGGATAATATGGCTGTCAATTCTTTATGGATGAAGATAGAGACCTTGATATATGGCTGTCGCTAATGAAGATAACTTGTTGTTACATGGAAGATCAATGCTTTATGGATGAAGCCTTGTTGTTATACGGAAGGATAATATGGCTGTCATTGATTGGTTATATGGGAAATAATGTTGAAGGAGAATAATTGGCTGTCAATGATTTATGGATGAAAGATGAGGGCCTTGTTGTTATACGGAAGGATAATGGCTGTCAATGCTTTATGGATGAAGATAGAGGCCTTGTTGTTATACGGAAGGATAATATGGCTGTCAATGCTTTATGGATGAAGATAGAGACCTTGTTGTTATACTGGAAGGATAATATGGTTGTCAATGCTTTATGGATGAAGAGAGAAGCTTTGTTGTTATACGGACGGATAATATGGCTGTCAATGCTTTATGCATGAAGATAAAAGGCCTTGTTGTTATACGGAAGGATAATATGGTTGTCAATTCTTTATGGATGAAGATAGAGGCCTTTTTGTTATACGGAAGGATAATATGGCTGTCAATGCTTTATGGATAAAGATAGAGCCTTGTTGTTATACGGAAGGATATTATGGCTGTCAATGCTTCACAGATGAAGATAGACGCCTTGTTGTTATACGGAAGGATATTATGGCTGTCAATACTTTATGGATGAAGATAGAGGCCTTGTTGTTATACGGAAGGATAATATGGCTGTCAATGCTTTATGGATGAAGATAGAGACCTTGTTGTTATACGGAAGGATAATATGGCTGTCAATGTCAAGCCTTGTTGTTATACAGAAAGGATAATATGGCTGTCAATGTGGATGAAGATAGAGGCCTTGTTGTTATACGGAAGGATAATATGGCTGTCATTGCTTTATGGAAGAAGGTAGATGCTTTGTTGTTATACGGAAGGATAATATGGCTGTCAATGCTTTATGGATGAAGATAGAGGCCTTTTGTTATACGGAAGGATAATATGGCTGTCAATGGTTCACGGATGAAGATAGAGACCTTGTTGTTATATGGAAGGTTAATATGGTTTATCAATGCTTCACGGATGAAGGTAGACCTTGTTGTTGTTATACGGAAGGATAATATGGCTGTCAATGCTTTATGGATGAAGATAGAGACCTTGTTGTTATACGGACGGATAATATGGCTATCAATGCTTTTATGGATGAAGATAGAGGCCTTGTTGTTATACGGAAGGATAATATGGCTGTCAATGCTTTATGGATGAAGATAGATGGCTGTCATCCTTTACGAATGAAGGTAGATTTGTTGTTATACGGAAGGATAATAGTCAATGCTTTATGGATCAAGGCTTTTTTCACGGGGAAGGTATATGCCTCAATGTTGATTATATAGGGAAGGATACGGAAGGAAAATGGCTGTCAATGCTTTATGGATGAAGATAGAGGCCTTGTTGTTATACGGAAGGATAATATGGCTGTCAATGCTTTACGGATGAAGATAGAGGCCTTTATTGTTATACGGAAGGATAATATGGCTGTCAATGCTTTTTGGATGAAGAAGAAACCTTGTTGTTTACGGAAGGTTGTTATACGGAAGGATGATAATATGGCTACGCTTCAGGATGAAGGTAGACTTGTTATTATACGGAAGGATAAATGTATGGCTTATATGGTTACCTTTATTATGAAGGATAATAGAGCTGTCCTTTGAAGGTTGTTATACGGAAGGATAATATGGCTGTCAATGACTTATGGATGAAGATAGCCTTTACGGATTTGTTATACGGAAGGATAATATGGCTCTCAATGCTTTATGGATGTAGATAGAGCCTTTGTTGTTATACGGAAGGATAATATAATGTCAATGCTTTTGGATGAAGATAGAGGCCTTGTTGTTATAGGGAAGGATAATATGGCTGTCAATGATTTCATGGATGAAGATAGATGCCTTGTTGTTATACGGAAGGATAATATGGCTGTCAATACTTTATGGATGAAGATAGAGGCCTTGTTATTATACGGAACGATAATAGCTGTCAATGCTTTATGGATGAAGGATAAGAACTTGATGTTATGAAGGGAAAGGTTATATGGCTGTCAATGGCTGTCGGCGGATGAAGATAGATGCCTTTGTTGTTATACGGAAGGATAATATGGCTGGATGTCAATGCTTTATACGGAAGGATGACTTTATGGATGAGAAACCTTGCATTTGTTATACGGAAGGATAATATTGCTGTCAAGGCTTTGTTTTATGGATGAAGATAGAGGCCGGGTTACATGCCTTGTTATACGGAAGGATAATATGGCTGTCAATGGATTTATGGATGAAGATAGAGATGCTTCCTTTGTTGTTATACGGAAGAATAAAATATGCTTCATGGATGAAGATAATGCCTTGTTTTATGGATGAAGATATGTAGATGCCTTGTTGTTATACGGAAGGATAATATGGTTGTCAATGCTTTATACGGAAGGATGAAGATAGAAGCCTTTGTTGTTATACGGAAGGATAATATGGCTGTCAATGCTTTATGGATGAAGATAGAGGCCTTGTTGTTATACGGAAGGATAATATGGCTGTCAATGCTTCACGGATGAAGATAGATAGTTTTGTTGTTATACGGAAGGATAATATGCATGTCAATGCTTTATGGATGAAGATAGACGCTGTTGTTATACGGAAGGATAATATGGCTGTCAATGCTTTTGGATGAAGATAGAACCTTGTTGTTGTTATACGGAAGGATAATATGGCTGTCAATGCTTCATGGATGAAGATAGAGGCCTTGTTGTTATACGGAAGGATAATATGGCCTGGATAAATGCTTCACGGATGAAGGTAGATGCCTTGTTATTATATGGCGGAAGAATGTCTGTACAATGATTCACGGATGAAGGTAGATGCCTTTGTTGTTATACGGAAGGATAATATGGCTGTCAATGATTTATGGATGAAGATAGAGGCCTTGTTGTTATACGGAAGGATAATATGGCTGTCAATGCTTTATGGATGAAGATAGAGGCCTTTGTTGTTATACATGAAGGATAATATATTGTCAATGCTTTATGGATGAAGATAGAGACCTTGTTGTTATACGGAAGGATAATATGGCTGTCAATGCTTTTGGATGAAGATAGAGGCCTTGAATATTAATTGTTATGCTTACGGAAGGATAATATGGCTAACAATGATTTATGGATGAAGATAGAGGCCTTATACGGAAGGATAATATACGGAAGGCTTCTACAATATGGCTGTACGGAAGGATTCACGGGTCAATGAGGATAGAAGCCTTGTTGTTATACGGAAGGATAATATGGGCTGTCAAGGGTTCACGGAATGAAGGTAGATGCCTTTTGTTATACGGAAGGATAATATGGCACTCTCAATGCTTTGATGGATGAAGATAGAGGCATTGTTATATGGAAGGATAATATGGCTGTCAATGCGCTTTTTGGATGAAGATAGAGGCCTTGTTGTTATACCGGAAGGATAATATGGCTGTCAATGCTTCACGGATGAATGTAGAGGCAATGCTTCACGGATTGTTGTTATACGGAAGGATAATATGGCTGTCAATGCTTCATGGATGAAGGTAGATGCCTTGTTGTTATACGGAAGGATAATATGGCTGTCAATGCTTTATGGATGAAGATAGAGCCTTTTTGTTATACGGAAGGATAATATGGCTGTCAATGTTTCACGGATGAAGATAGAGGCCTTGTTTGTTATGAAGATAATATGGCTGTCAATACTTTTAATGGATGAAGACTGTTTTGTTATACGGAAGGATAATATGGCTGTCAATGCTTTATGGATGAAGATAGAAACCTTGATGTTATACAGAAGGATAATATGGCCGTCAATGATTTATGGATGAAGATAGAGGCTTTGTTGTTATACGGAAGGATAATATGGTCAATACTTCACAGGTCAATGCTTTATGGATGAAGATGAAGAATCTTTGTTGTTATACGGAAAGATAATATGGCTGTCAATGCTTTATGGATGAAGGTAGATGCCTTATTGTTGTTATACGGAAGGATGAAATAGATGGTTGTAAATGCTGTCAATTACGGATGAATGTAGATGCCTTGTTATACGGAAGGATAATATGGCTGTCAATGCTTTATGGATGAAGATAGAGGCCTTTTGTTATACGGAAGGATAATATGGCTGTCAATGGTTCACGGATGATGTCCATAGAGGCCTTGCCTTGTTATAATGGAAACATAATGTGGCTGTCAATGCTTTCAGATGAAGGTAGATGCCTTTTGTTATACGGAAGGATAATATGGTTGTATTCTTTGAGATGAAATGACCTTGTTTCATACGGGATGGCTATCAATGCTTTATGGATAGAGGCTTTTGTTGTTAATGGAAGGATAATATGGCTGTCAATGCTTTTGGATGAAGATAGAGGATACGGAAGGATGAAGATAGAGGCCTTGTTGTTATACCGAAGGATAAATGGGTCAATGCTTTATGGATGAAGATAGATGCCTTGTTGTTATACGGAAGGATAATAATGCCAATGCTACTTGGATGAAGGTCGGATGAAGATAGAGGCCTTGTTATTATACGGAAGGATAATATGGCTGTCAATTTTTAAGGATGAAGATAGAAGCCTTGTTGTTATAAGGAAGGATAATATGGCTGTCAATGCTTCACGGATGAAGATAGATGCCTTTTTTGTTATAACGGAAGGATAATATGGCTATCAATGTTTTATGGATGAAGATAGAGCCTTGTTGTTATACGGAAGGATAATATGGCTGTCAATGCTTTATGGATGAAGATGGAGCCTTGTTGTTTGTTGTTGGATACGGAAGGAATTGTTGATAATATACGGACGGATCAATGCTTTATGGATGAAGATAGAGGCCTTGTTGTTATAATGGAAGGATAATATGGCTGTAAAGGAATGCTTTTATGGATGAAGAGGTTTTTGTTGTTAGGCACGGAAGGATAATATGACTGTCAATGCTTTATGAAGATAGAGGCCTTGTTGTTATACGGAAGGATAATAATAAAGGATAATTTGGCGGATGGAAGGATAAGAGACTGTCTTGACGTAAGAAGGTAGATGCCTTGTTGTTATACGGAAAGATAATATGGCAGTCAATGCTTTATAGGGGATGAAGGTAGAAGCCTTGTTGTTATACGGAAGGATAATATGGCTGTCAATGCTTTATGGATGAAGATAGAGGCCTTGTTGTTATACAATGGAAGGATAATATGGCTGTCATCGGATGGATGTGGATGAATGTAGCCTTGTTGTTATACGGAAGGATAATATGGCTGTCAATGCTTTGCGGATGAAGATAAGATGCCTTGTTGTTATATGAAGAAGATGTTATACGGATGGCTGTCAATGCTTAAGGATATGATTCCTTGTTGTTATACGGAAGGATAATATGGCTGTCAATATTTCAGGGATGATGATAGATGCGTTGTTGTTATACGGAAGGATAATGAAGATAGAGGCCTTTGTCAATGCTTTGAAGGATGAAGATAGGATGCCTTGAAGTTATATGGAAGGACATAATATGGCTGTCAATGCTTTATGGATGAAGATAGAGGCCTTGTTGTTATACGGAAGGATAATATGGCTGTCAATGCTTTACGGATGAAAGATAGAGTTTTGTTGTTAACGGAAGATAATGTAACATCAATGATTTATGGATGACGAGAGCTTTGTTGTTATACGGAAGGATAATATGGCTGTCAATGCTTCATGGATGAAGAGACCTTGATGTTATACGGAAGGATAATATACTATCAATGCTTCACGGATGAAGATAGATTTTATACGGAAAGGATAATATAATGAAGGGAGAAGCCTTCTTTGCGGATGAAGAATAGATGCCTTATAGAGGTTATACGGAAGGCTGTCAATGCTTCACGGATGAAGATAGGCCTTGGTTATACGGAAGGATAATATGGTTATCAATGCTTTAAGGATGAAGAGATGCCTTGTTGTTATACGGAAGGATAAATATGGCTGTCAATGCTTCACGGATGAAGATAGATGCCTTGTTTTTATACGGAAGGATAATATTGCTATCAATGCTTCATGGATGAAGATAGAGCCTTTTTGTTATACGGAAGGATAATATGGCTGTCAATGCTTTATGGATGAAGATAGAAGCCTTGTTGTTATATGAAAGGATAATATGGCTGAAGGATGAAATAGAGGCCTTGTTATACGGAAGGATAAATGGCTGTCAATGAAGTATGAAGATAGATGCCTTGTTGTTATACGGAAGGATAATATGGCTGTCAATGGATTTAGGCCTTGGATAAAAGGATAAGAAAATGCTTTGCTGGATGATGATAGAGGCCTTATTGTTATATGGAAGGAAGGTTGGCAATGCTTTATGGATGAAGACAGAGGCCCTTGTTATACGGAAGGATAATACGGCGTCAATGCTTTAAGGATGAAGATAGAAGCCTTGTTGTTATACGGAAGAGTAATATGGCTGTCAATGCTTTATGGATGAAGATAGAGCCTTGTTGTTATACGGATGGATGATAATATGGCTGTCAATGGTTTATGGATGAAGATAGAGGCCTTGTTGTTATACCAATGCTTTATGGATGGAAGGATAATATGGCTGTCAAGGCTTTATGGATGAAGATATAAGTCTTGTTGTTACACGGAAGGATAATATGGCTGTCAATGCTTTATGGATGAAAGAAGGGCCTTGTTGTTATAATGGAAGGATAATGGCTGTCAATGCTTTACGGATGAAGTTAGAGGCCTTGTTGACAACGGAAGGATAGAGACACGTATGAAGCGATGGAGACCTATTTGTTATACGGAAGGATAATATGGCTGCTGTCAATGCTTTATGGATGAAGATAGAGGCCTTTGTTGTTATAATGGAAGGATAATATGGTTGCAATGTTTAAGGATGAAGAGAGCCTTGTTGTTATATGGAATGGATAATATTGCTGACAATGAAGATGAAGAGACTTGTTGTTATACTGGAAGGATAATATGGCTGAAGATAGATTCTTATGGTTATTATTAAGAAGAATAATATAGCTGTCAATGCTTCACAGATAGACTTGTTGTTATACGGAAGGATAATTGTTTATACGGAAGGATAATATGGCTGTCAATGCTTCGCGGATGAAGGTAGATGCCTTATTGTTATACGGAAGGATAATATATGCCAATAGAGCCTTCACGGATGAAGATAGATGCCTTGTTATACGGGAAGGATAATATGGGTGTCAATGCTTTATGGATGAAAGATAGATGCCTTGCTGTTATACGGAAGGATAATATGGTATCAATGCTTTATGGATGAAGGTAGAGGCCTTGTTGTTGTACGGAAGGATAATATGGCTGTCAATGATTAATGGATGAAGATAGAGCTTTGTTGTTATACGGAAGGGCACATGACTGTCAATGTTTTATGGATGAAGATACATGCCGAAGGATAAATATGTTGTTATACGGAAGGAAGAATATGGCTGTCAATGCTTCAAGGATGCAAAAGAGAAGCCTTGTTGTTATACGGAAGGATAATATGTGATCAATGCTTTATGATGAAGATAGAAGCCTTGTTGTTATACGGAAGGATAATATGGCTGTATCAATGCTTCATGGATGAAGGAGATGCCTTGTTGTTATACGGAAGGATAATATGGCTGCTTCACGGGATGAAGATAGATGCCTTGTTGTTATACGAAAGGATAATATGGCCATCAATGCTTCACGATGAAGATGGCGACCTTTTTGTTATAATGGAATGATAATATGGCTGTCAATGCTTTATGGATGAAGATAGAGACCTTGTTGTTATACGGAAGGACAATATGGCTATCACGATTTATGGATTAAATAGAGGCCTTGTTGTTATACGGAAGGATAATATGCCTTTGTCAATGCTTTTGTTTGGATGAAACATGTAAGATAGAGATGCCTTTGTTGTTATAAGGAAGGATAATATGGCTGTCAATGCTTTATGGATGAAGATAGAGACCTTGTTGTTATACGGAAGGATAATACGGCTGTCAATGCTTTTGGATGAAGATAAGAAGACTTGTTGTTATACGGAAGGATAATATGGCTGTCAATGCTTTACAGATGAAGATTAGAGGCCTTTGTTGTTATAATGGAATGATAATATGGCTGTTTTTACTTCAAGGATGAAAGAGGCCTTTGTTGTTATACGGAAGGATAATATGGCTGTCAATGGTTATGGATGAAGATGAGGCCTTGTTGTTATACGGAAGGATAATAACATCAATGCTTAAGGATGAAGATAGATGCCTTGTTGTTATACGGAAGGATAATATGGTTCTCAATGCTTCAATAAGAAGGTAGATGCCTTGTTGTTATACGGAAGGCCTTGTTGTTACTAATGGATGAAGATAGAGGCCTTGTTGTTATACGGAAGTATAATATTTATGTCAGTAGCTTCACGGATGAAGATAGAGACCTTGATGTTATACGGAAAAGGATATGGCTGTCAATGCTACCGGATAAAGGTAGATGCCTGTTGTTATTGGAAGATAGGCTGCCGCGTTTTAAGGATGAAGAGAGAAGTTTTGTTGTTACGGATGAAGATAGATGCCTTTTGTTATGCGGGACAATATTGCTGACAATGCTTTTATGGATGAAGATAGAGGCCTTGTTGTTATACGGAAGGATACGTCAATGCTTCACGGATGAATGTAGAGGCCTTGTTGTTATATTTGGAAGGATAATATGGCTGTCAATGATTTATGGATGAAGATAGAAGCCTTGTTGTTATACGGATGGATGATATGGCTATGTGTTATGTCAAGGCTTTGTTGTTACGTAAGAAGCTTCACGGCTGAAGGTACACATGCCTTGTTGTTATATGGAAGGATAATATGGCTGTCAATGCTTCACGGATGAAGATAGATGCCTTGTTGTTATACGGAAGGATAATACATGTCAATGCTTTATGGATGAAGATAGAGGGCCTTGTTGTTATACGGAAGGATAATATGGCTGTCAATGCTTTAAGGATGAAGATAGAGGCCTTGTTGTTATACGGAAGGATAATATGGCTGGCAATGCTTCAGGGATGAAGGTAGATGCCTTGTTGTTATACGGAAGGATAATATGGGTGGATGAAGATGCCTTTTATTGGAATACTATGCTCAATGCTATGGATGGAGGCCTTGTTGTTATGGAAGGATAATAGGCTGTCAATGATTTATGGATGAAGATAGAGGTCTTGTTGTTATGGAAAGATAATATGGCTGTCAATGCTTTTATGGATGAAGATAGAAGCCTTGTTGTTATACGGAAGGATAATATGGCTGTCAAGCTTCACGTAAGAAGGTAGAAGCCTTGTTGTCATACGGAAGGATAATATGGCTGTCAATGATTTATGGATGAAGATAGAGGCTTTTGTTGTTATACGGAAGGATAATATATTGTCAATGCTTTTGGATGAAGATAGAGGCCTTTTATACGGAAGGATAATATGGCTGTCAGATAAGCCCTAAACGGATGAAGGGCATGGCTGTTGCTTTAAGGATGTTGTTATACGGAAGGATAATATTGCTGACATGTTTTATGGATGAAGATAGAGGCCTTTGTTTTTATACGGAAGATATATTGCTGTCAATTCTTTATGGATGAAGATAGAGGCCTTGTTGTTATACGGAAGAATAATATGGAAAACAACAAGGAGAAGACAGTTTTGTTGTTATACGGAAGGATAATAGCCTTGTCATTGCTTTAAGGATGAAGGAAGGTTGTTATACGGAAGGATAATATGGCTGTCAATGCTTCACGGATGAAGGTAGATGCCTTGTTGTTGCTGAAGGATAATATGAAACATCAATGCGTTATGGATGAAGATAGATGGCCTTGTTGTTATACGGAAGGATAATATGACATCAATGCTATACGGATGAAGATAGAAGTTTTGTTGTTATACGGAAGGATAATATATGGGCTGTCAATGCTTGATGGATCACGATAGAGCCTTGTTGTTATACGGAAGGACAACTATGGCTGTCAATGTTTTATGGATGAATATAGAGGCCTTATGTTATTATACGGAAGGATAATATGGCTGTCATTGCTTTATGGATGAAGATAGAGCCTTGTTGTTATACGGAAGGATAATATGGCTGTCAATGCTTTATGGATAAAGATAGAGGCCTTGTTGTTATACGGAAGGATAATATGGCTGTCAATGCTTTAAGGATGAAGATAGAAGACTTGTTGTTTATACGGAATGATAATATGGCTGTCAATGCTTTATGGATGAAGATAGAGACCTTGTTATACGGAAGGATAATATGGCTGTCAATGCTTTATGGATGAAGATAGAGACCTTGTTGTTATACGGAAGGATAATATGGTTGTCAATGGCGATGGATGAGGAGACGAAGCCTTGTTGTTATACGGAAGGATGATATCGCTGTCAAGGCTTCCACAGAGAAGGTAGATGCCTTTGTTGTTATACGGAGGATAATGTGGCTGTCAATGCCGGCGGATGAAGATAGATTCCTTTGTTGTTATACGAAGGATAATGGCTGTCAATGCTTTATGGATGAAGATGAATGCCGGTTGTTATACGGAAGGATAAAATGTCTGTCAATGCTTCACGGATGAAGATAGATGCCTTGTTGTTATACGGAAGGATATGGCTGTCAATGCTTTATGGATGAAGAATAATAGAGCCTTTTGGATTGTTATACGGAAGGATAATATGGCAATTTCTTGATGAAGATAGAGGCTTTATGGATGAAGAATAGATGCCTTGTTGTTATACGGAAGGATAATATGGTTGTCAATGCTTTAAGGATGAAGATAGAGGCTTTGTTCTTATACGGAAGGATAATATGTCATCAATGCTTCACGGGGTTGTACATGCCTTGTTGTTATACGGAAGGATAATATGGCTATCAATGCTTCACGGATGAAGATAGAGGCCTTGTTGTTATACCGGAAGGATAATATGTCAGCACGTTCGCGGATGAAGATGAAGATTGTTAGACATGTTATACGGGAAGGATAATATGGCTATCAATGCTTCACGATGAAGATAGAGGCCTTGTTATACGGAAGGATAATATGGCTGTCAGTGCTTTAAGGATGAAGAGAGCAGTTTTTGTTATACGGAAGGATAATATTGCTGACAATGTTTTACGGATGAAGATAGATGCCTTGATGTTATACGGAAGGATAATATGGCTGTCAATGCTTATGGATGAAGATAGAGACCTTGTTATATGGAAGGATAATATGGCTGTCAATGTTTTATGGATGTAGATAGAGACCTTGTTGTTATACGGAAGGTTCTAATATATTGTCAATGCTTCATGGATGGAGATAGACGACTTTGTTGTTATACGATACAATGGCTATCAATGCTTTATGGATAAAGATAGAGAGGCCTGGTTGTTATACGGAAGGATAATATGGCTGTCAATGCTTTATGGATGAGGATAGAGGCCTTGTTGTTACATGGAAGGATAATATGGCTGTCAATGCTTTATGGATGAAAGATAGAGGCCTTGTTGTTATACGGAAGGATAATATGGCTGGTCAATGCTTTATGGATGAAGATAGAGGCCTTGTTAAAACCTGAAGGATAATACGGCTGTCAATGCTTTACTGGATGAAGATAGCCTTGTTGTTATACGGAAGGATAATATGGCTGTCAATGCTTTACGGATGAAGATAGAGGCTTGTTGTTGTTATACGGAAGGATAATATGGCGTCAATGATTTCAGGATGAGGATAGAAGTCTTGTTTGTTATACGGAAGGATGATAGGCTGTCAAGGCTTTACGTAAGAATGAAGATGCTTTGTTGTATACGGAAGGATAATGTGGCTGTCAATTTATGGATGAAGATAGGAGGACTGTTGTTATACGGAAGGATAATATGGCTGTCAATGCTTTTGGATGAAGATAGATTCCTTGTTGTATTTAAAGGATAAAATGTCTGTGAATGCTTTATGGATGAAGATAGATGCCTTGTTGTTATAATGGAAGGATAATATGGCTGTCAATGCTTCGAGGATGAAGATAGATGCCTTGTTCTTATACCGGGAAGAATACTGGCTGTCAATGCTTTATGGATGAAGATAGAGGCCTTTTTGTTATATTTGAAGGGATAATATGGCTGTCAATGGTTTATGGATGAAGATAGAGGCCTTGTTGTTATACGAAGGATAATATGGCTGTCAATGCTTTATGGATGAAGATAGAGGCCTTGTTGTTACGGAAGGATAATAAGGCTGTCAATCTTTATGGATGAAGATAGAGACCGATGTTATACGGTAGATAATATGGCTGTCAATGCTTTATGGATGAAGATGAGCCTTGTTGTTATACGGAAGAATAATATGGCTGTCAAAGTTTTAAGGATGAAGATGAAGATAATATTGCTGACAATGTTTTATGATTGTTATACCGGAAGGATAACATGGCTGTCAATGCTTTATGGATGTCTTTATGGATGAAGATGGATGAAGGAGCCTTGTTGTTATACCGGAAGGGATAATATGGCTGTCAATGCTTCATGGATGAAGATAGACGCCTTGTTGTTATACGGAAGGACAATATGGCTATCAATGATTTATGGATGAATATAGGTCTTTGTTGTTATACGGAAGGATAATATGGCTGTCAATGCTTTATGGATGAAGATAGATGCCTTGTTGTTATACAGAAGGAAAATATGCCATCAATGGTTCATGGATGAAGATAGAGCCTTGTTGTTATAAGGAAGGATAATATGGCTGTCAATGCTTTATGGATGAAGATAGAGGCCTTGTTGTTATACGGAAGGAAAATACGGCTTTGTCAATGCTTTTATGGATGAAGATAGGAAGCCTTGTTATAATACGGAAATATTAATATGGCTGTCAATGCTTTTATGGATAAGATAACCTTGTTATTATACGAAGATGCCTTCAGGATGAGGATAGAAGCCTTTGTTGTTATACGGAAGGATAATATGGCAGTCAATTTCACGGATGAAGGTAGATGCCTTATTGTTATACGGAAGGATAATGTGGCTGTCAAGGCTTTTTATGGATGAAGAGAGAACTTTTGTTGTTATACGGAAGGACAATGGCTATCAATGCTTCAGGGATGAAGATAGATGCCTTGTTGTTATACGGAAGGATAAATGGCTGTGAATGTTTCACGGATGAAGATAGATGCCTTGTTATACGGACGGATAATATGGCTGTCAATGCTTTATGGATGAAGGTAGATGCCTTGTTCTTATACGGAAGGATAATATGGCTGTCAATGCTTTATGGATGTAGATAGGCCTTGTTGTTATACGGAAGGAAGCTTCCCCAATACGGATAGATGGCTGTCAATGAAGGTTTATGGTCAATGTCACGGATGAAGGAGATGTGCCTTGTTGTTATACGGAAGGATAATATGGCTGTCAATGCTTTAAGGATGAAGATAGCCTTGTTGTTATACGGAAGGATAATATGGCTGTCAATGCTTCACGTAAGAAGATAGATGCCTTTTGTTTATGCGGAAGGATAATATATTTTACCAATGTCTTTTTGGATGAAGATAGAGGCCTTCTTGTTATACGGAAGGATAATATGGATATGGCTTGATGTTATACGGAAGGATGGCTGTCAACGGATGAAGATAGATGCCTTGTTGTTATACGGAAGGATAATATTGAAGAGAGTAGTTTCTTGGTTATCGAAGGATAATATTGCTGACAATGTTTTATGGATGAAGATAGAGGCCTTGATGTTATACGGAAGGATAATATGTCAGTACTTCACGGATGAAGGTAGATGCCTGGTTTTATGGATGAAGATTAGAGATGAAGGTAAGATGCCTTTGTTATACGGAAGAATAATATGGGTTGTCAATGCTTTAGCCTTGGATGAAGATAGAGACCTTGTTGTTATAATGGAAGGATAATATGGTTGTCAAAGCTTTTAAGGATGAAGAGAGAAGCCTTGTTGTTATACGAAGGATAATATGGCTGTCAATGCTTATGGATGAATATAGAGGCCTTGTTTGTTATACTTGAAGGATAATATGGCTATCAATGCTTTATGGATGTAGATAGAGAACCTTTTTGTTATACGGAAGGATATAATATGGCTGTCAATGCTTTATGGATGAAGATAGAGGCTTTGTTGTTTACGGAAGGGATATTATGGCTGTCAAGGCTTTATAGATGAAGATAAGTCTGTTGTTATACGGAAGGACAATATGACTGTCAAATGCTTTATGGATGAATATAGAGGCCTTGTTGTTATACGGAAGGATATGGCTGTCAATGCTTTATGGATGAAGATAGGGAGGCATTTGTTATGTTAAGGCTCTCAATGCTACGGATAATAAAATAGACATTTGTTATCACGGAAGGAATATGGCTGTCAATTTATGGATGAAGATAGAGGCCTTGTTGTTACGGAAGGATAATATGGCTGTCAATGATTAGGATGAAGATAGACGCCTTGTTGTTATACGGAAGGACAATATGTCTATCAATGTATTTATGGATGAATATAGAGGCCTTGTTGTTATACGGAAGGATAATATGGCTGTCAATGCTTTATGGATGAAGATAGAGAGCCTTTGTTGTTATACGGAAGGAAATATAATATGGATGAGATGAGGCCTTGTTTTATACGGAAGGATAATATATTGTCATCAGTATTTAAGGATGAAGATAGAAGCCTTGTTGTTATACGGAAGGATATAATGGCTGTCAATGCTTTATGGATGAAGATAGATGCCTTGTTGTTATACGGAAGGATAATATGGCTATCAATGTTTTATGGATGAAGATAGAGACCTTGTTGTTATACGGAAGAATAATATGGCTGTCAATGCTTTATGGATGAAGATAGAGACCTTGTTGTTATACGGAAGGATAATATGGTTGTCAATGCTTTAAGGATGAAGAGAGAAGCCTTGTTGTTATACGGAAGGATAATATGGCTGTCAATGCTTTATGTATGAAGATAGATGCCTTGTTGTTATACGGAAGGATAATATGGCTGTCAATGCTTTATGGATGAAGATGAGACCTTGTTGTTATACGGAAGGATAATATGGCTGTCAATGCTTTGGATGAAGATAGAGCCTTGTTGTTATACGGAAGGATAATATGGCTGTCAATGCTTCACGGATGAAGATAGAAGGCCTTGTTGTTATACGGAAGGGAAGGATTCTTGGGATATGGCTGTCGGAAGGATAATATGGCTTCAATGCTTTGGATGAAGATGGAGGCCTTGTTGTTATACGGAAGGATAATATGGCTGTCAATGCTTGGATGAAGATAGACCTTGTTGTTATACGGAAGGATAATATATGTCTGTCAATGCTTTATGGATGAAGATAGAGGCCTTGTTGTTATACGGAAGGATAATATGGCTGTCAATGCTTTATGGATGAAGATAGAAGCCTTGTTGTTATACGGAAGGATAATATGGCTGTCAATGCTTCAAGGATGAAGATAGAAGCCTTGTTGTTATACGGAAGGATAATATGGCTGTCAATGCTTTGGATGGATGAAGATAGAGGCCTTGTTGTTATACGGAAGGATAATATGGCTTGTTGTTATCAATGATTTCAGGATGAAGATAGAAGCCTTGTTGTTATACGGAAGGATAATATGGCTGTCAATGCTTTCACGGATGAAGATAGATGCCTTGTTGTTATACGGAAGGATAATGTGCTCTGTCAATGCTTTATGGATGAAGATAGAAGGGACTTGGTATACGGAAGGATAATATGGCTGTCAATGATTTATGGATGAAGATAGAGGCCTTGTTGTTATACGGAAGGATAATATGGCTGTCAATGCTTTATGGATAAAGATAGAAGCCTTGTTGATATACGGAACGATAATATGGCTGTCAATGCTTTATGGATGAAGATAGATGCCTTGTTGTTATACGGAAGGATAATATGGCTGTCAATGCAATTTATGGATGAAGATAGACGCCTTGTTATACGGAAGGATAATATGGCTGTCAATGCTTTATGGATGAAGATAGAGCCTTGTTGTTATACGGAAGGATAATATGGCTGTCAATGCTTCACGGATGGATGAAGATAGAAACCTTAATATGTTATACGGAAGGATAATATGGCTGTCAATGCTTTATGGATGAAGATAGAGGCCTTGTTGTTATACGGAAGGATAATATGGCTGTCAATGCTTTATGGATGAAGATAGAGGCCTTGTTGTTATACGGAAGGATAATATGGCTGTCAATGCTTTATGGATGAAGATAGAGGCCTTGTTGTTATACGGAAGGATAATATGGCTGTCAATGATTTAAGGATGAAGATAGAAGCCTTGTTGTTATACGGAAGGATAATATGGCTGTCAATGCTTTATGGATGAAGATAGAGGCCTTGTTGTTATACGGAAGGATAATATGGCTGTCAATGATTTATGGATGAAGATAGAAGCCTTGTTGTTATACGGAAGGATAATATATTGTCAATGCTCAAAGATGAAGATAGAGGCCTTGACGAAGGATATTATGGCTGTCAACGCTCACGGATGAAGATAGACGCCTTTGTTGTTATACGGAAGGACAATATGACTGTCAATGCTTATGGACAGATGAAGCCTTTGTTGTTATAATGGAAGTGACATTATACAATAATTTATGGATGAAGATAGAGGCCTTGTTGTTATACGAAGAATAATATGGCTTTCAATGGTTCACGGATGAAGATAGATTTTGTTGTTATACGAAGGATAATATGGCTGGATAAGGATGAAGATAAAGTTTTGTTGTTATAATGGAAGGATGATGAAGATAGATGCCTTTGTTGTTATACGGAAGGATAATGTGGCTGTCAATGCTTTATTGGATGAAGATAGAGGGTTTTGATGTTATACGGAATGGGTCAATGCTTAATGGATGAAGGTCAATGCTTCACGGGATGAATGTAGAGGGAGGCCTTGTTGTTATACGGAAGGATAATATGGCTGTCAATGCTTTCACGGATGAAGATAGATGCCTTGTTGTTATACGAAGGATAATATGGCTGTCAATGATTTATGGATGAAGATAGAGGTTTTGTTGTTATACGGAAGGATAATATGACTATCAATGATTTATGGATGAGATAGAGGCTTTGTTGTTATACGGGATAATATGACTGTATCAATGCTTTATGGATGAAGATGAGACCTTGTTGTTATACGGAAGGATAATATGGCTGTCAATGCTATGGATGAAGATAGATGCCCTTATTGTTATACGGAAGGATATATAGCTGTCAGCTAGCTACGGATGAAGGTAGATGCCTTGCTGTTATACGGAAGGATAATATGGCTATCAATGCTTTATGGATGAAGATAGATGCCTTGTTGTTATACGGAAGGATAATATGGCTGTCAATGCTTTATGGATGAAGATCAAGGCCTTGTTGTTATACGGGAGGATAATATGGCTGTCAATTCTTTAAGGATGAAGATAGAAGCCTTGTTGTTATACGGAAGGATAATATGGCTGTCAATGTTTTTTATGGATGAAGATAGAGGCCTTGTTGTTATACGGAAGGATAATATGGCTGTCAATGCTTTATGGATGAAGATAGACGCCTTGTTGTTATACGGAAGGATAATATGGCTGTCAATGCTTTATGGATGAAGATAGAGGCCTTGTTGTTATACGGAAGGATAATATGGCTGTCAATGCTTTGGATGAAGATGAAGAGGCCTTGTTGTTATACGGAAGGATAATATGGCTGTCAATGCTTTATGGATGAAGATAGAGGCCTTGTTGTTATACGGAAGGATAATATGGTTGTCAATGATTTAAGGATGAAGATAGAAGCCTTGTTGTTATACGGAAGGATAATATGGCTGTCAATGCTTTATGGATGAAGATAGAGGCCTTGTTGTTATACGGAAGGATAATATGGCTGTCAAATGCTTTATGGATGAAGATAGAGGCCTTGTTGTTATACGGAAGGATAATATGGCTGTCAATGCTTTACGGATGAAGATAGAGGCCTTGTTGTTATACGGAAGGATAATATGGCTTTTGTATCAATGTCTTTATGGATGAAGATAGAGGCCTTGTTATTATACGGAAGGATAATATGGCTGTCAATGATTTATGGATGAATATAGAAGGCCTTGTTGTTATACGGAAGGAAAATATGGATGTCAAGGCCTTGTTTTATGGAAGGATAAGATGGCCTTGTTGTTATACGGAAGGATAATATGGCTGTCAATGCTTTATGGATGAAGATAGAGGCCTTGTTGTTATACGGAAGGATAATATGGCTGTCAATGCTTCATGGATGAAGATAGAGGCCTTGTTGTTATACGGAAGGATAATATGGCTGTCAATGCTTCACGGATGAAGATAGAGGCCTTGTTGTTATACGGAAGGATAAATGTCAATGAATTTAGGATGAAGCGCCTTGTTGTTATGAAGGTCAATGCTTTAGGCCTTGGATGAAGATGGATGATGGATGATAGGGCCTTGTTGTTATACGGAAGGATAATATGGCTGTCAATGGTTTATGGATGAAGATAGAAGGCCTTGTTGTTATACGGAAGGATAATATGGCTGTCAATGGTTTCACGTATGGATGATGCCTTTGTTGTTATACGGAAGGATAAATATGGGTCAATGTTTTATGGATGAAGATAGAGCCTTGTTGTTATACGGAAGGATAATATGGCTGTCAATGCTTTATGGATGAAGATAGAGGCCTTGTTGTTATACGGAAGGATAATATGGCTGTCAATGCTTTATGGATGAAGATAGAGGCCTTGTTGTTATACGGAAGGATAATATGGCTGTCAATGCTTTACGGATGAAGATAGAAGGCTTTATGGATTGTTGTTTATACGGAAGGATAATCAATGGCTGTCAATGCTTTTGTTATACGGATGAAGGTTGTATTCTTTATGGATGTTGTTATACGGAAGGATAATATGGCTGTCAATGCTTTATGGATGAAGATAGAGGCCTTGTTGTTATACGGAAGGATAATATGGCTGTCAATGCTTTATGGATGAAGATAGAGGCCTTATTTGTTATACGGAAGGATAATATGGCTATCAATGTTTTATGGATGAAGATAGAGGCCTTGTTGTTATACGGAAGGATAATGGCTGTCAATGCTTTATGGATGAAGATAGAAACCCTTGTTGTTATACGGAAGGATAATATGGCTGTCAATGCTTGAAGATAGATAGAGGCCTTGTTGTTATACGGAAGGATAATATGTCTGTCAATGCTTTATGGATGAAGATAGAGGCCTTGTTGTTATATGGCTGTCAATGCTTTATGGATGAAGGAGGCCTTGTTGTTATACGAAGGATAATATGTCTGTCAATGCTTTATGGATGAAGATAGAGGCCTTGTTGTTATACGGAAGGATAATATGGCTGTCAATGCAATGAGATGAAGCTTCTTGTTGTTATACGGAAGGATGTCAATGATGGATGAAGATAGAAGCCTTGTTGTTATACGGAAGGATAATATGGCTGTCAATGCTTCATGGATGAAGATAGAGGCCTTGTTGTTATACGGAAGGATAATATGGCTGTCAATGCTTTACGGATGAAGATAGATGCTTGTTGTTATACGGAAGGATAATATGGCTGTCAATGCTTTATGGATGAAGATAGAGGCCTTGTTGTTATACGGAAGGATAATATGGCTGTCAATGCTTACGGATGAAGATAGATGCCTTGTTATTTATACGGAAGGATAAATGGCTGTCAATGCTTCCGGATGAAGATAGAGGCCTTGTTGTTATACGGAAGGATGAAATAGTTTTGTTGTTATACGGAAGGATGTCTGTCAATGCTTTATGGATGAAGATAGATGCCTTGTTGTTATACGGAAGGATAATATGGCTGTCAATGATTTATGGATGAAGATAGAGGCCTTGTTATACGGAAGGATAATATGGCTGTCAATGCTTTATGGATGAAGATAGAGGCCTTGTTGTTATACGGAAGGATAATATGGCTGTCAATGCTTTATGGATGAAGATAGAGGCCTTGTTGTTATACGGAAGGATAATATGGCTGGCAATGCTTTATGGATGAAGGTAGATGCCTTGTTGTTATAGGATGGAAGGATAATATAATGTGGCTGTCAATGCTTTATGGATGAAGATAGATGCCTTGTTGTTATACGGAAGGATAATATAATTTATCAATGCTTTAAGGATGAAGATAGGGGAGGCCTTGTTGTTATACGGAAGGATAATATAACTAATCAATGATTTAGGATGAGGATAGAAGCCTTGTTGTTATCGGAAGGATGATATGGCTGTAAAGGGTGGATGAAGGTAGATGCCTTGTTGTTATACGGAAGGATAATATGGCTGTCAATGCTTTTATGGATGAAGATAGATGCCTTGTTGTTATACGGAAGGATAATATGGCTGTCAATGCTTTATGGATGAAGATAGAGGCCTTGTTGTTATACGGAAGGATAATATAGCTGTCAATGCTTCACGGATGAAGATAGAGGCCTTGTTGTTATACGGAAGGATAATATGGCTGTCAATGCTTTATGGATGAAGATAGAGGCCTTGTTGTTATACGGAAGGATAATATGGCTGTCAATGCTTTATGGATGAAATAGAAGCCTTGTTGTTATACGGAAGGATAATATGGCTCAATCAATGCTTTATGGATGAAGATAGAGGCCTTGTTGTTATACGGAAGGATAATATGGCTGTCAATGCTTTTATGGATGAAGATAGAGGCCTTGTTGTTATACGGAAGGATAATATGGCTGTCAATGTCAATGATTTATGGATACGGAAATAATATGGCTGTCCTTGTTGTTATACGGAAGGATAATATGGCTGTCAATGCTTTATGGATGAAGATAGAGGCCTTGTTGTTATACGGAAGGATAATATGGCTGTCAATGCTTTATGGATGAAGATATGAAGACCTTGTTGTTATACGGAAGGATAATATGGCTGTCAATGCTTTATGGATTGTTGTTATACGGAAGGATAATATGGCTGTCAATGCTTTATGGATGAAGAGAGAAGCCTTGTTGTTATACGGAAGGATAATATGGCTGTCAATGCTTTATGTATGAAGATAGAGGCCTTGTTGTTATACGGAAGGATAATATGGCTGTCAATGCTTCACGGATGAAGATAGATGCCTTGTTGTTATACGGAAGGATAATATGGCTGTCAATGCTTCACTGATGAAGATAGAGGCCTTGTTGTTATACGGAAGGATAATATGGCTGTCAATGCTTTACGGATGAAGATAGACGCCTTGTTGTTATACGGAAGGATAATGGCTGTCAATTCTTTTTGGATGAATATAGAGGCCTTATTTGTTATACGGAAGGATAATATGGCTGTCAATGCTTTATGGATGAAGATAGAGGCCTTGTTGTTATACGGAAGGATAAAATATGGCTGTCAATTCTTCATGGATGAAGATAGAGGCCTTGTTGTTATACGGAAGGATAATATGGCTGTCAATGCTTCATGGATGAAGATAGAGGCCCTTGTTGTTATACGGAAGGATAATATGGCTGTCAATGCTTTATGGATGAAGATAGAGGCCTTTTGTTATACGGAAGGATAATATGGCTGTCAATGCTTTATGGATGAAGATAGAGACCTTGTTGTTATACGTAAGGATAAAAGGATAATATGGCTGTCAATGCTTTATGGATGAAGATAGAGGCCTTGTTGTTATATGGAAGGATAATATGGCTGTCAATGCTTCACGGATGAAGGTAGATGCCTTGTTGTTATACGGAAGGATAATATGGCTGTCAATGCTTCACGGATGAAGATAGATGCCTTGTTGTTATACGGAAGGATAATATGGCTGTCAATGCTTCACGGATGAAGGTAGATGCCTTGTTGTTATACGGAAGGATAATATGGCTGTCAATGCTTTATGGATGAAGATAGAGGCCTTGTTGTTATACGGAAGGATAATATGGCTGTCAATGATTTATGGATGAAGATAGAGGCCTTGTTGTTATACGGAAGGATAATATGGCTGTCAATGCTTTATGGATGAAGATAGAGGCCTTGTTGTTATACGGAAGGATAATATGGCTGTCAATGCTTTATGGATGAAGATAGAAGCCTTGTTGTTATACGGAAGGATAATATGGCTGTCAATGCTTTACGGATGAAGATAGAGGCCTTGTTGTTATACGGAGGGGGAAGGATAATATGGATGTCGTCAATGCCTTGTTGGATGAAGATAGATGCCTATCAATTTTTGATATACGGAAGGATAATATGGCTGTCAATGCTTTACGGATGAAGGTAGATGCCTTGTTGTTATACGGAAGGATAATATGGCTGTCAATGCTTTATGGATGAAGATAGATGGCCTTGTTGTTATACGGAAGGATAATATGGCTGTCAATGATTTTTATGGATGAAGATAGATGCCTTGTTGTTATACGGAAGGATAATATGGCTGTCAATGCTTATGGATGAAGATAGAGGCCTTGTTGTTATGCGGAAGGAAAATATGGCTGTCAATGCTTTGGATGAATAGAGAAGCCTTATTGTTATACGGAAGGATAATATGGCTGTCAATGCTTTATGGATGAAGATAGATGCCTTGTTGTTATACGGAAGGATAATATGGCTGTCAATGCTTTATGGATGAAGATAGATGCCTTGTTGTTATACGGAAGGATAAAATGGCTGTCAATGCTTTATGGATGAAGATAGATGCCTTTTGTTATACGGAAGGATAATATGGCTGTCAATGCTTTATGGATGAAGATAGAGACCTTGGATGAACTGCTTCTGGGATAGAAGCCTTGTTGTTATACGGAAGGATAATATGGCTGTCAATGCTTCTTGTTATACGGATGAAAGGTAGATGCCTTGTTGTTATACGGAAGGATAATATGGCTGTCAATGCTTCATGGATGAAGATAGAGGCCTTGTTGTTGTTATACGGAAGGATAATATGGTTGTCAGTACTTTGGATGAAGATAGATGCTTGTTGTTATACGGAAGGATAATATGGCTGTCAATGATTTATGGATGAAGATAGAGGCCTTGTTGTTATACGGAAGGATAATATGGCTGTCAATGCTTATGGATGAAGATAGACGCCTTGTTGTTTATGGATGAAGATAGGCCTTGTTGGAAGATAATATGGCTGTCAATGCTTTATGGATGAAGATAGAGGCCTTGTTGTTATACGGATAAGGATCAATATGGCTGTCGGAAAGGATAATGCTTCAATGCTTTAAGGATGAAGATAGATGCCTTGTTGTTATACGGAAGGATAATATGGCTGTCAATGCTTCACGGATGAAGTTCTTATAGAAGGCCTTGTTGTTATACGGAAGGATACGGAAGGATAATATGGCTGTCAATGCTTTATGGATGAAGATAGATGCCTTGTTGTTATACGGAAGGATAATATGGCTGTCAATGCCTTTATGGATGAAGATAGAGGCCTTGTTGTTATACGGAAGGATAATATGGCTGTCAATGCTTTATGGATGAAGATGATAGATGCCTTGTTGTTATACGGAGGTCAATGATTTATGGATGAAGATAGAGCCTTGTTGTTATACGGAAGGATAATGGCTGTCAATGCTTTAAGGATGAAGGATAGAAGCCTTGTTGTTATACGGAAGGATAATATGGCTGTCAATCTTCATGGATGAAGATAGAGGCCTTGTTGTTATACGGAAAGATAATGGCTGTCAATGCTGATGGATGAAGATAGATGCCTTGTTATTTATATGGAAGGATAATATGGCTGTCAATTCTTCACGGATGAATAGAAGCCTTGTTGTTATACGGAAGGATAATTTTCAATGGATGAAGATAGATGCCTTGTTGTTATACGGAAGGATAATATGGCTGTCAATGCTTCATGGATGAAGATAGATGCCTTTTGTTATATACGGAAGGATAATATGGCTGTCAATGCTTTTGGATGAAGATGAAGATCTCAATGCTTCACGGATGAAGATAGAGGCCTTGTTGTTATACGGAAGGATAATATGGCTGTCAATGCTTTACGGATGAAGATAGATGCCTTGTTGTTATACGGAAGGATAATATGGCTGTCAATGCTTTATGGATGAAGATAGAGGCCTTGTTGTTATACGGAAGGATAATATGGCTGTCAATTCTTTATGGATGAAGATAGAGGCCTTGTTGTTATACGGAAGGATAATATGGCTGTCTTATGGATGAAGATAGGCTTTGTTGTTATACGGAAGGATAATATGGCTGTCAATGCTTCATGGATGAAGATAGAGGCCTTGTTGTTATACGGAAGGTTATGCTTATGGATGATGATAGTTTCCTTCTTGTTATACTGATAATATCAATGCTTTATGGATGAAGATAGAGGCCTTGTTGTTATACGGAAGGATAATATGGCTGTCAATGCTTTATGGATCAGATGAGCCTTGTTGTTATATGGATGGATGTAGATAGAGGCCTTGTTGTTATACGGAAGGATAATATGGCTGTCAATGCTTTAAGGATGAAGATAGAAGCCTTGTTGTTATACGGAAGTATAATATGGCTGTCAATGCTTTATGGATGACGAGAGAGGCTTTGTTGTTATACGGAAGGATAATACGGCTGTCAATGCTTTATGGATGAAGATAGAGGCCTTTTTATACGGAAGGATAATATGGCTGTCAATGCTTTACGGTTGAAGGTAGATGCCTTGTTGTTATACAGAAGGATAATATGGCTGTCAATGCTTTATGGATGAAGATAGAGGCCTTGTTGTTATACGGAAGGATAATATGGCTGTCAATGCTTTATGGATGAAGATAGAGGCCTTGTTGTTATACGGAAGGATAATATGGCTGTCAATGCTTTATGGATGAAGATAGAAGCCTTGTTGTTATACGGAAGGATAATATGTTGTCAATGCTTTATGGATGAAGATAGAGGCCTTGTTGTTATACGGAAGGATAATATGGCTGTCAATGCTTTATGGATGAAGATAGAGGCCTTTGTTGTTATACGGAAGGATAATATGGCTGTCAATGCTTTATGGATGAAGATAGAAGCCTTGTTGTTATACGGAAGGATAATATGGCTGTCAATGCTTTACGGATGAAGATAGAGGCCTTGTTGTTACACGGAAGGATAATATGGCTGTCAATGATTTCACGGATGAAGATAGAGTCTTGTTGTTATACGGAAGGATGATATATGTCTGTCAAGGCTTCACGTAAGAAGGTAGATGCCTTGTTGTTATATTTAAGGATATTGTGGCTGTCAATGCTTTTGGATGAAGACAGAAACCTTGATGTTATAATGGAAAGATAATATGGCTCTCAATGGTTCACGGATGAAGATAGAGGACTTGCTATTATACGGAAGACAATATGGCTGTCATCGCTTTATGGATGAAGATAATACCTGTCAATGTTATACGGAAAGATGGAATATGTGACGGATAAATGCTTTATGGATGAAGATAGAGGCCTTGTTGTTATACGGAAGGATAATATGGCTGTCAATGTTTTATGTGGATGAAGAGAAGGTTTGCCAGCGACGATTGTTATACAAGAAGGAGATGCCTTGTTGAACATATGGCTGTCAATGTTTTATGGATGAAGATAGAGGCCTTTGATGTTACATGGAAGGATAATGTCAATGCTTATGGATGAAGATAGAGGCCTTGTTGTTATACGAAGAATAATATGGCTGTCAATGCTTTAAGGATGAAGATAGAGTTTTGTTGTTATTTGGAAGGGATAATATGGTTGTCAATCTTTTAGGGATGAAGAGATGGGTGTTGTTATACGGAAGGATAATATGGCTGTCAATGCTTTGGATGAAGATAGAGGCCTTGTTGTTATACGGAAGGATAATATGGCTGTCAATGCTTTATGGATGAAGATGAAGCCTTGATACGGAAGGATAATAATACTGTTTTATGGATTGTTGTTGTTATGGAAGGATAATATGGCTGTCAATGCTTTCAGGATGAAGATAGAAGCCTTGTTGTTATACGGAAGGATAATATGGCTGTCAATGCTTCACGGATGAAGGTAGATGCCTTGTTGTTATACGGAAGGATAATATGGCTGTCAATGATTTATGGATGTCAAACGGATGGAAGCCTTGTTGTTATACGGAAGGATAATATGGCTGTCAATTCTTTATGGATGAAGATAGAGACCTTGATGTTATACCGGAAGGATAATATGGTTGTCAATGCTTTTAAGGATGAAGATAGAGGCCTTGTTGTTATAAGAAGTTAATAATGTGGCTGTCAGTGCTTTAAGGATGATCGAGAAACCTTCAGTTTTGTGATTATACGGAAGGATAATATTGCTGACAATGTTTTATGGATGAAGATAAGAGGCCTTTGTTGTTATACGGAGCGATAATGTGGCTGTCAATGCTATGCGGATGAAGATAGATGCCTTGTTGTTATACGGAAGAATAATATGGTTGTCAATGCTTTACGGATGAAGATAGATGCCTTGTTGTTATACGGAAGGATAATATGTCAATGCTTCACGGATGAAGATAGACGCCTTTGTTGTTATACGGAAGGAAGAAGGATGAAGAGGGCCTTGTTGTTATACGGAAGGATAATATGGCTGTCAATACTTCATGGATGAAGATAGAGGCCCTTGTTGTTATACGGAAGGATAATATGGCTGTCAATGCTTTATGGATGAAAGATAGAGGCCTTGTTGTTATATGGAAGGACATATGGCTAAGTCAATGCTTTACGGATGAAGATAGAGGCCTTGTTGTTATACGTAAAGGACAATATGGCTGTCAATGCTTTAGGATGAATATAGAAGTTTTGTTGCCTTGTCAATGTTATGGACGGAAGGATATTTGGCTGTCAATGCTTTATGGATGAAGATAGAGGCCTTGTTGTTATACATGGGAAGGATAATATGGCTCTCAATGGTTCATGGATGAAGATAGATGCCTTTGTTGTTATACCAGAAGGATAATATGTCTGTCAATGTTTTATGGATGAAGATAGAGGCCTTGTTGTTATACGGAAGGATAATATATGTCAATGCTTTTATGGATGAAGATAGAGGCCTTGTTGTTATACGGAAGGAAAATATGTCTGTCAATGCTTTGTGGATGAAGATAGAGAGGCCTTTGGTTGTTATACGGAAGGATAAAATGGCTGTCAATGCTTTATGGATGAAGATAGAGGCCTTGTTGTTATACGGAAGGATAATATGGCTGTCAATGCTTAAGGATGAAGATAGAGGCCTTTGTTGTTATACGGAAGGATAATATGGCTGTCAATGCTTTATGGATGAAGAGATACCTTTGTTGTTATACGGAAGGATAATATGGCTGTCAATGATTTATGGATGAAGATAGAAGCCTTGTTGTTATATGGAAGGATAATATGGCTGTCAGCTTCACGGATGAAGATAGAGGCCTTGTTATACGGAGGATAATATTGAAACGTCAATGCTTTATGGATGAATAGAGGCCTTGTTGTTATATGGAAGGATAATATGGCTGTCAATGTGGCGGATGAAGATAGATGCCTGTTATACGGAAGGATAATATGGCTGAACAATGCTTCATGGATGAAGATAGATGCCTTGTTGTTATACGGAAGGATAATATGGCTGTCAATGCTTTATGGATGAAGAGGAGGCCTTGTTGTTATACGGAAGGATAATATGGCTGTCAATGTTTGAAAAGGCCTTGAAATTAGATAGCCTTGTTGTTATAAGGAGAGGATGTTATATGGCTGTCAATGACTTCAATGGATGAAGATAGAGGCCTTGTTGTTATACGGAAGGGATAATATGGCTGTCAATGATTTATGGATGAAGATAGAGGCCTTGTTGTTATACGGAAAGATAATATGGCTGTCAATGCTTATGGATGAAGATAGAGGCCTTGTTGTTATACGGAAGGATAATATGGTTGTCAATGCTTTTAAGGATGAAGATAGAGACCTTTGTTGTTATATCGAAGGATAATATGGCTGTCAATGCTTATGGATGACGATAGATGAAGTTATACGGAAGATGTCGTTCACGTAAGGATGCAGATGCCTTGTTGTTATACGGAAGGATAATATGGCTGTCAATGCTTTATGGATGAAGATAGATGCCTTTGTTGTTATAATGGAAGGATAATATGGCTGTCAACGCTTTATGGATGAAGATAGATGCCTTGTTGTTATACGGAAGGATAATATGGCTGTCAATGCTGGCGGATGGAGATGGATGAAAGATGAGAATATGGCTGTCAATGATTTATGGACAGGAGGCCTTGTTGATAATATGATAATATGGTCAATGTTTATGGATGAAGATAGGGCCTTGTTGTTATACGGAAGGATAATATGGCTGTCAATGCTTTATGGATGAAGATAGAGGACTTGTTGTTATAATGGAAGGTAGGCTGTACGGAAGAGGCCTCGTTGTTATAACGGAAGGATAATGGCCAGTCAATGTTTTAGGATGAAGATAGAAGCTTTGTTGTTATACGGAAGGATAATGGGCTGTCAATGCCATAGATGAAGATAGAAGCCTTGTTGTTATACGGAAGGATAATATGGCTGTCAATCGCTTCACGGATGAAGATAGACGCCTTGTTGTTATACGGAAGGATAATATGGCTGTCAATGCTTCAGGATGAAGATAGAATGGTTTGTGGAAACATAATATGGCTGTCAATGGATGGATGAAGATAGAGGCCTTTGTTATACGGAAGGATGCTTCAACGGATGGATGAAGGTAGATGCCTTGTTGTTATACAGAAGGATAATATGGCTGTCAATGCTTTACCGGTGAAGATAAAGGCCTTGTTGTTATATGGAATGATAATATTGCTATCAATGATTTATGTGGATGAATATAGAGCTTTGTTGTTATACGGAAGGATAATATGGCTGTCAATGCTTTATGGATGAAGATAGAGGCCTTGTTGTTATACGGAAGGATAATATGGCTGTCAATGCTTTATGTATGAAGGTAGATGCCTTGTTGTTATACGGAAGGATAATATGGCTGTCAATACTTTATGGATGAAGATAGAGGCCTTGTTGTTATAATGGAAGGATAATATGGCTGTCAATGCTTTATGGATGAAGATAGAACTTGTTGTTATACCGGAATGATAATATGGTTGTCAATGCTTTATGGATGAAGATAGAGGCCTTGTTGTTATACGAAAGGATAATATGGCTGTCACGGTTTATGGATGATGAATGAGGCCTTGTTGTTATACGGAAGGATAATATGGCTGTCAATGTTTTAAGGATGAAGATAGATATTTCTTGTTGTTATACGGAAGGATAATATGGTTGTCAATGCTTCATGGATAAAGATAAGGGTAGATGTCAATGCTTTATGGATGAAGATGGACCTTTGTTTATACGGAAGGATAATTATGGTTGTCAATGTTTTATGGATGAAGATAGAGACCTTGTTGTTATACGGAAGGTATAATATGGCTGTCAATGCTTTATGGATGAAGATAGAGACCTTGATGTTATACGGAAGGATAATATGGCTATCAATGCTCTATGGATGAAGATAGAGGCCTTGTTGTTATACGGAAGGATAATATGGCTGTCAATGCTTTTAAGGATGAAGATAGAAGCCTTGTTGTTATACGGAAGGATAATATGGCTGACAACTTTATGGATGAAGGTAGATGCCTTGTTGTTATACGAAGGATAATATGCTTGTCAATGCTTTATGGATGAAGATAGAGGCCTTTTGATATACGGAAGGATAATATAGCTGTCAATGCTTTTATTTACGCATGAAGATAGAAAGCCTTGTTGTTATACGGATGGAAAATATGGCTGTCAGGCGGATGAAGATAGAGGCCTTATTGTTATACGGAAGGATAATATGGTCTGCTTTTACGGATGAATGATTTATGGATGAAGGATAATATGGTTGCCTTGGATTAGTACGGAAGGATAATATGGCTGTCAATGCTTTTGGATGAAGATAGAGGCCTTGTTGTTATAACGGAAGGTTAATATGTGGCTGTCAATGCTTGCCAGGATGAAGGTAGATGCCTTGTTGTTATACGGAAGGATAATATGGCTGTAAATGCTTCAGGGATGAAAATGTAGATGCGTTTTCTTATACGGAAGGATAATATAGGTGTCAATGGCACATGGATGAAAGATAGAGGCCTTTTGTTATACGGAAGGGATAATATGGCTGTCAATGGTTTACGGATGATGATAGAGGTTTTGTTGTTATACGGAAGGATAAGGCTGTCAATGCTTACGGATGAAGGTGATATTCTTGTTATACGGAAGAATAATATGGTTTCAATGCTTTTATGGATGAAGATAGAAGGCCTTGTTGTTATACGGAAGGATAATATGGCTGTCAATGCTTTTGGATGAAGATAGAGGCCTTGTTGTTATATGGAAGGATAATATGGCTGTCAATGCTTTACAGATGAAGTTAGAACCTTGTTGTTATACGGAAGGATAATATGGTTGTCAATGCTTTTAAGGATGACGGATGATAGATGCCTTTGTTGTTATACGGAATTATAATATGGCTGTGCTTTAAGGATGAAGGTAGATGCCTTATTGTTATGCGGAAGGATAATATACTGACAATGTTTCACGGATGAAGATAGATGCCTTGTTGTTATACGGAAGGATAATATGGCTGTCAATGTATATGGATGAAGGTAGATGCTTTGTTGTTATACGGAAGGATAATATGGTTGTCAATGCTTTATGGATGAAGATAGCCTTGTTGTTATACGGAAGGATAATATGGCTGTCAATGCTTTATGGATGAAGATAGAGGCCTTGTTGTTATACGGAAGGATAATATGGCTGTCAATGATTTCACGGGTGAAGGTAGATTTGTTGTTATACGGAAGGATAATATGGTTGTCAATGCTTCACGGATGAAGATAGACCTTGTTGTTATACGGAAAGATAATATGGCAGTCAATGCTTACGGATGAAGATAGAGGCCTTGTTGTTATACGGAAGGATAATATGGCTGTCAATGCTTCATGGATGAAGATAGACGCCGTTGTTATTGATAATATTGTCAATGCTTCACGGATATACTTTGTTGTTATACGAAGGATAAATATGTCAATGCTTATGGATCAATGTTATTTATGGATGAATATAGTTTCAATGCTTTAAGGATGGAGATGTTGTTATACGGAAGGATAATATGGCTTGTCAATGCTTTATGGATGAAGATAGAGGGGCCTTGTTGTTATACGGAAGGATAATATGGCTGTCAATGCTTTTATGGATGAAGAGGTTATACGGAAGGCCTGTCATCGCTTTACTGGATGACGAGAGGGAAAGGATAATATGGTTGTCAATGCTTTTTGGATGAAGATAGAGGCCTTGTTGTTATATGGAAGGATAATATGGCTGTCAATGCTTTATGGATGAAGATAGAGCCTTGTTGTTATACGGAAGGATAATATGGCTGTCAATGTTTTATGGATGAAGATAGAGGGCCTTTGTTGTTATACGGAAGGATAATATGGCTGTCAATGATTGATGAAGATAGAAGATGAGGATGCTTTACGGATGAAGATGCCTTGTTGTTTATACGGAATGATAATGAAGATGCTGTCAATTTTTCACGGATGATGGATGAAGATGTCTTGTTGTTATACGTAAGGAAAATATGGCTGTCAATGCTTTATGGATGAAGATAGAGGCCTTATTGGGTTATACTTGAAGGATTAATATGTAT